ATGATGGTGTGAGAAGAAAAGTATTCATCCGTCTGAACTGAAATATTAATGACATATACATGCTTCAAGTGCATGTACCAGTACTAGTACACTGCATCACATACGTAACTGAAAGTTATTACTATGTGCACTCCTGGGCTTCACATGCTTGTCTCCCCCCTGGGTCAGAACAGGTCCCCAGCATCACGTTTGTCTCCCTGCTAAGGCATAACAATTAGCTGTGCAGTGTTGCATGTGGAAGGTTTGCCAAAACCAGTATTGTGAGTTTGAATTATGGTTTGTCATAAACATTCAGCTAGGTTTGTCAGCACCATGAATTGTAGCAAAGTGGTTTCCTGACAAATAGGTCATATATACGTTGATATAATTGAAATTCTGTTCATAGAATCATTGAACCAAACTCCCTCCCTCCCTCACTCACTCGTGTACATACTTTGTGGTATATACTGGACTGATGTCTTCATTGTGAGACAGATAGCAACAACGGCTGCCATTAGCCCTCATGCTGACACTAGATTCACCATACGTGTGGATCAGTTTGCTAGGATGTCTTCATCACAATGTCTGCTACTGAGCTGATTATCCGTATGAAGCCTCTGTTCAAAGAGATAGTGCTTGATTGCAGCTTGACCTCCTGTCCACAACTGTCCTTCTCTTCAGGTAGTGACTACACCCTCTCAGATTATTCTTCTTAAGATACAGGCATGTATTAATAGGACTCTTTGTACTAGACCTTGCTGTCATTAGAATTGACAATCAAACCATATTTGAGCCTTTATTACTCTACCATTGAACAAGAGAGTCACTGCAGTCCAATATTACGTGTAGTAATTACTATTGATTTATTAATGTGCTCATTTGAATTGCCTATTTAAACCTAACAATTCTATTGATTTCCATGCCACATCGTGCTGCCTCAGAAGGCATGTTATGTTCATGTTAAGGTTCAGTTTCTGAGATGACATAACCTGATGGAGATCAGTCACATCTCGGTACCAATAAGCGATATTGTCATACGCTTAACATGCGTTTCAAAATTGGTATCAGGCAGGGAATCCAGGTCTGTTGTCGCAAATTGTTCTGATGTGATTGGAGTTTGTGGATACATCCTGTTTACTGAATCATTCATACAAGATACAGGATGCATATACACATCCTTGTTCCTGCGATGTGATTGGAGTTTGTGGAGACGAATCCTAGTTACTCAATCATTCACACATGGTATTGGCTACATATGGTATATACAACCTTGTTCCTGCGATGTGATTGGAGTTGGTGGAGACGGTCCCAGTTACTCAATCATTCACACATGGTATTGGCTACATATGGTATATACAACCTTGTTCCTGCGATGTGATTGGAGTTGGTGGAGACGGTCCCAGTTACTCAATCATTCACACATGGTATTGGCTACATATGGTATATACAACCTTGTTTCTGCGATGTGATTGGAGTTTGTGGAGACGAATCCTAGTTACTCAATCATTCACACATGGTACTGGCTACATATGGTATGTACAACCTTGTTCCTGCGATGTGATTGGAGTTGGTGGAGACGGTCCCAGTTACTCAATCATTCACACATGGTATTGGCTACATACGGTATACACAACCTTGTTCCTGCGATGTGATTGGAGTTGGTGGAGACGGTCCCAGTTACTCAATCATTCACACATGGTATTGGCTACATATGGTATATACAACCTTGTTCCTGCGATGTGATTGGAGTTGGTGGAGACGGTCCCAGTTACTCAATCATTCACACATGGTACTGGCTACATATGGTATATACAACCTTGTTCCTGCGATGTGATTGGAGTTGGTGGAGACGGTCCCAGTTACTCAATCATTCACACATGGTACTGGCTACTAGAGCTGTGTATCGTGGTCTAAGTGGCGAGACGATATATCCCGATACCAGTTTACTTAGGCGAGCCGATATATCATGAAAGTATTGGCAAGGAACCTGCGAGACGATTATCATCACGATACAATGGTGGCAATACGATACGTATCCCGATACTTTACAATTTCTAATAGCAGAACATATATGATAGATAAAATGACTTTATCTTTAAAATCTTTATTTGTTATACAGCAGATCTTGTGTTACATTCACGCACACTTAAAAAGCTGTTCATTTAATAAAGTTTCAGGATTTAATGCTTTTAAAGTACAGTCAAACATATTCAGTATACTTTGATCTAACATATGTAAGTTTGAAACCCAAGTTTCCTTTGGGAAAGTGTGTTTCTGCACCGATGCTTTCACAAACAATTGAATGTAATTTATATCAGAATTCAGAATCACTGAAAAAACTCTTAAGTATGCTTTCTAAATTTTATCTTCTCTTTGTTCTCTTTCTTAACAAAGCTAAGGCGTCGTTAGTGTATGTTAATAAATGTTGTTATTTGTCAAACAACTAAAACATATTTCAATTACTAAAGACAAGTATTCTACAGTTCACAGAGTTTGAAACATGTTCACACTCTTTCACTTATACACCAACTCCTTTGTCCATGTAACAAAGATAACAGACACAAACAAATTCCTAAAAGGTTCAATTTGTTTTTAAAATTCAGAAGAATTTCAAAGAGACTCCCTTCCTATTCCTAATGCAATACTCCTTACAACTTTAACTAGTATTGAAGTTGTATCGGGATATATCGTCTCATGTGGCGATACATCGATGTATCGTGGACCCTTGCGATATAAATATCCTGATATATTGCCTAAATGTGTTTTGTATCGATGCACTCGTATCATATCGCGTAGTTGACGATGCAAACATCGATACTATCGATGAATCGTTACACCACTACTGGCTACATATGGTATATACAACCTTGTTCCTGCGATGTGATTGGAGTTGGTGGAGACGGTCCCAGTTACTCAATCATTCACACATGGTATTGGCTACATACGGTATACACAACCTTGTTCCTGCGATGTGATTGGAGTTGGTGGAGACGAATCCTAGTTACTCAATCATTCACACATGGTACTGGCTACATATGGTATATACAACCTTGTTCCTGCGATGTGATTGGAGTTTGTGGAGATGGTCCCAGTTACTCAATCATTCACACATGGTATTGGCTACATATGGTATACACAACCTTGTTCCTGCGATGTGATTGGAGTTGGTGGAGACGGTCCAAGTTACTCAATCATTCACACATAATTTTATTTTTTTTTATTATAGGATATTTATATAGCGCACATATCCACGCAGTTAGGATATATAGATATACAACCTTGTTCCTGCGATATGATTGGTGAGTGACTGAGTTTAGTTTTATGCCGCACTCAGCAATATTCCAGGTATATGCCAGTGGTCTGTAAATAATCGAGTCTGGACCAGACAATCCGGTGATCAACAGCAGGAGCATCGATCAGTGCAATTGGGAACCGATGACATGTGTCAACCAAGTCAGCGATCCTGACCACCTGATCCCATTAGTCACCTTTTACGACAAGCATGGGTTACTGAAGACCAATTCTAATGTAGATCTTCACGGGTCCGATGTGATTGGAATTGGAGTTGGTGGATACAGTCCTAGTTACTCAGTCACCCAGACACAATACAGGATATATACAACCTTGTTCCTGCGATATGATTGGAGTGGATATAGTCCATAAAACCTAGGCTACATGTCAACTGAGTGAGTGAGTGAGTAAGGTTTTACGCCGCTTTTAGCAATATTCCAGCAATATCACAGTGGGGGACACCAGAAATGGGCTTCACACATTGCACCCATGTGGGGAATTGAACCCGGATCTTTGGGGTGATGAGCAGACGCTTTAACCATTAGGCTACCCCACAGCCCCATATCGACTGAGCCCAGTTGCACAAAGTGATCTTGTAATTCCCCAACACTATCATAGACTAAGGCAATCATAGCGCTAAAATCGCTTTGTGCAAGTGGGCCCAGGTAGCTATAGTTCCCTCCATGCCTTGTGTCTATAGTGTTTTGGTAGTCACCTACATGCCCTGTGTCAACAGTCACGTGAGTTGCCGCTCAGGCAGCATGTGGAGTGGCTGTGTTTACGAACACATGTGAAGAATGAAAGCATAGAAATCCTTCTTTGTAACATGGTGCTGGGACAATGATGAACTTGTATAGTTCTGACAGCTGGAAATAATTTCACACACACTCAAATGTATCCTCCTCCCCCAACATGGGCACACATGTTTTCAGATTCAGTGTGTTTTTACTTCCTGCTTGTGGAGTGTTGAAAGTAACCACAGAATTATGATTATTCATTTTGTAGGTTTACAGAGGATGATTTGTATCCTAGAAAAAAACCCACTGATTATGTGTGCTTTTGTTTTCTTAATGATGTGAATCATTACTTGATAAGGTGAATGGTATATATTCATATCACCCACTCTCAGCAGAATGCCCCATGATAGGAGTCAATTTAAATGGGATTTTGTGGTGACAGTGGCGGCCGGATAGGAGTGACACCGTGGGATCACCATGGCAGATTTATGTTAGTCTCTCATGGACATGGAGACAAAAGTATCCAGAAACCCCACCCAAATCAACTATGCATTGGCATGTACCCATGTGTTCAGGTTCCCACTCAACTACACTATTCAATCATGTTTTGAATAAAGTCAAAATATTGCTGAAGCTGTTATCAATTATTCACTCACTAACTTTCATTTGTGACCTGGCTGATTGGGTCCCAATCTATGTATACTTTATCATGGACTTACAAAAGGCGTTATGCTACGAATTCTTTTTGGACGTGGTTCCTGGTTATCTAACTGTGTGGATTTAGGCACTGTAGTATGTCTGGTCCAGGATTGATTACACACAGGCCATTGATGACTCTAGTTTTGCTGTCTTCATATATTTATGCTCACATTCACCCCTTAAGTAATAAGGGATCCTTGTTGGTATGAATCTATCATGTTCAAACCTCCTCCATTAGTAATTCATGGTACTTAACAATATTCTTTTGTGTTAATTTGTGTTATTTTGTTTCAGATTTGTTACAATGCACGAACGAACCAAACGTGTCGATCCCCCAACTGGCCGACCTCCTGATAGAGCGAACTCAACATGCAAACTGGATCGTGGTCTACAAGTCTCTCATCACAATCCACAATCTCATGAACTATGGCAACGAGGTCATTTGAACATATTGACACCTCCCAAGGGGTGGAAATAACTTTAAAATTGCTAGTGTACTCCGGTACAGTGGCACATGTAAAATCACTTGCCCTGATAATTTTTCCGCTCTACCGGCCGATTTTCTTGGTGATTTTTTAAACAAACAACATAATTAACATTGGAATGTCAACTGGACGCCGGTACAGCGTGATATACAAATGTGCTTGCCCGACAGAAAAAAACACTGGACTCGGACGTCAAGCAATGGGTTATTTCCACCCCTGCTCCCTGTGGGATTACTGTGCGGGTTTGGGGTGAATGGGGCAGTTGTATAATGTTCCGCACTTTGAGTTACATCTAGACATGGCAGGAACCTATCATGGTGGGGTCAAATCCCAGAAAATGCCATATATATTTCTCAGTTTGTTAGCACATCTAACATCTTGGACCATAATCACTTTAAGTTTCCACTCATATTAAGCTGCATGGTTTTACCATGGCTGACAGAACAAGTTGTCGCCAGTTACTGAATTTAAGGGTCAAGAATTTTGAAGGTCGTGTAAAGTAATAAAATGGTGTACTGTACTGAACTGTAACATTATGATGTAATTATTTTACTTACATGAAACGTTATATTTCTTGTCACAAATGTGGTTCCAAAAAATTATCATGCATCCCTTTAATGCAATATGTATTTCTTCTGCATCCATTCTGTAAGTTTGACGCAAATTTCTGTGTCACATAAAATCCTAGCTGACATGACATGGTCTAACTAAAGAACTGTCCAAAGTGGCGTTAAACCATACCCACTCACTCACTTTCTCTCTTCAGAGATTTACCCAGTACCTGGCTTCAAACAACTGCACGTTCAACCTTGGCAGTTTCCATGACAAGGCGGGCATGCAAGGTGAGGGCAAGTATATCCATATGTTTACGGTGACCAACTTCAGCTTGCGCTTCCTTCCTCTGCATGCTCGGCTTCTGTACACAACACTAAATACTTCAGACTATGAAGTACTTAAGTCCTAATTCAACAGCGTTACAGTTCAATATTAAGAGAAAATAATATCTACGATATATAACAGGTGAACAGGATCAGACCTGGATGCCATTGTACAAAGCGATCTTAGGGCTGAGGTAACTCCCATACATTAACATAGACTAGCGACTGTCATAGCGCTAAGGTTGTTTTGTACAATGGTACCCAGGAACACAATACCCAAAGATATATTTGGGGGGGTCTTTCAAGTGTTGAACTGCTGTCCACTTTGCATGCATTTGTCTTCATTGCAATTCTTAGATGAAATTACAGCATATTAACGTCTATAAGCCGAATTTTGAGGACCAAAAAATATTTTGTAGAATATGTTTTATCTATGACTATGAGATACAATTTCACAGAAATATTTTTTAGCTCACCAGTGCCCTGCCAGGACGATGTTACAGGTTACCGGTACATCTGCCAGGATGTTTGCCACGATTACAGCGTTTATGTTGTGAATGATGAATAAAATACATATTAACCTATGTTTTCATTATTTCAAAATATTATTACATATTAGTCATTATGACATGTATCGTACAATCAGCTGTGCACACGTTTCCCGGCGATCAAGTTCAAACATGCACAATAATATAACGGGATGAATTCTGGCGCAGTCATCAGTAAAATATAATACAGAATACTATTATTTAACCCACAGAAATATATCCTAGCATTGTGTACTTTTAATTACAGTTTTTTGCACTTTAAATTAAGTAAGAATAAGATTAAGTTGTGTATTTGAGCCGGAAATAGCTATGAGCTGTGCACACGTTTCCCGGTGATCAAGTTCAAACATGCACAATAATATAACGGGATGAAATCTGACGCAGTCATCAGTAAAATATAATACAGAGTACTATTATTTAACCCAAAGAAATATATCCTAGCATTGTTTAATTTTAATTACAGTTTTCGCACTATAAATGTAAAATATATAATCAACACTAAGGTTATACGGACCCTCATGAACATGGTAAGTTGTACGCACATGGAATGGGGTAAAATAAGCAAGCCATTTAAATTCACACATTTTTACCGATGTTACTGTAAACTAGCAGTCCATGGAAAACAAGGCGGTAATAAGCAAGCCAGTTTGTTGACATGTTATCGTCTAACTACAATATGTATGATATTTAGCGAAACAAAATATATTATCCATTTGCTGTCAACTACACTTCCTTTCGATGCGTGAGTAGACGCAATATGATTGTGAATTTTTTGAATAATGTGGACCAAAATTATAATTATTGGTAACCGCCAGTTGTCTGTGGTCTGTGTTTGCCTCGATTAGGACCCCATCGCGGGGGATCGGCTTATGCACGAAACATACCATTTTGACACTGATGTTAAGGGTCAAGTTTGGAGGTCGGCTTATCTATGGGGTCGGCTTATAGACGGTAATATACGGTAACATTTATTTTCGTCTGTTTTCTGCAAAATCATACCCCTTCTTCATGCCAGTGTCTGAAATTATAATGATGAATTGGTATGGCCAAATGACTAACTTTCATGCCATTTAAGACAATTTGTTGCTTCCCAAAAAATATTACTTTGCCATTTCATCTGTATGATTTTACAGCAAACGGACTATACACACATGTGAAGATCCGGGTTAGAATTAGTCTTCAGCAACCCATGCTTGTTGTAAGAGACGATTCACAGGATTAGGTGGTCAGGCTCGCTGACTTTGTTGTCATCATATCCCAATTACATAGATCAATGCTGATGGTGTTGATCACTGGATTGCCTGGTCCAGACTCGATTTATATGCAGACTTCCTTGATATAGCTGGAATATTGCTGAGTGCGGTGTTAAGCAAATAACCAAAGCTGCCCAAAATGCATGTATGTATCTGCTTTGCAATTGTTCCTAATTAACATTAATGAGAAGTTATTCAGTGAGCTGTTTATGAGGATTCTTATTACATTGTCACTTGCAAGATTTATCTCAATTTGTGTTGGGTTTTTTCTAAGTGTCTGTATTTTGTTACATACTAGTTTTTCAAATGCTATTTTCAGATGAAATTACAAAGATCAGCAAGTAATAGAATAATAATGCACCATTTAAAAGGAAACAATTTCTTTAATATTTGATTGTTATTTTCTGTAGGAATGGTTTCTGTTACGGGATACGACATGTCGACATACATCAGAAGATATGCTAAATATTTAAATGAGAAGGCCACTTCCTACAGACAGATGGCCTTTGATTTTTGTAAAGTAAAGCGTGGGTAAGTTACTTTTCTCACAGCATATTTTTTCTCAGTCAGCATATTAATCATTATACTTCTGATGATAGTCAGTACATGTCTGTAATCATTATACTTTTAACTGATAATAAATCTCATGTACAAATATGCAGTACATTTAAAGTCTTTTCTCAGTAGAAATACAGTTTCTTCCATATGCCCGATATCTCCTAGGAATATGAATCTCCTCTTCCATTAAGCTAACATACCGTGATTACACAATGCCATTAGAAAGTGGTCAGATGTAATGTATATTATATTTGGGATTACTAGAATTTGTACTTTACTTAGAAAGTGTAATCCCAAATATAACATATGTTACTAACATGCCGTGATGTAGAAGGAATACTGTTCAAATCTCACTAATATACGTGTGATGATTTTATGTTTTAATGAGTGAAATCCAATGTGTTAGGGATCTTTGTGTCCAAGTTTGTCCGGGGTAGCTGGTTTTATCAGGATTAGGTATGGTCAGTTTTCTGATTCTTTTAAGTAGCCCTTTTCTTTTTACAGGAAAGATGATGGACTACTCAGAACTATGAACTCAGAAAAGGTAATGACAGTCAGAATGCACACACCATGGACACAAAACCTGAACAAGAATGGACATTAAAAAATGAAGTTACGATGAATGTAGAAAATATGCTTAAAGTGTCCTGGACTTTCTCAAGTCTGTGTTACAGTTTCAAACATAAGTCAGAGCTTATCGGCTGCACTGTGAAACAGGCCCCATGTCCATATGAATGATGTTATCTTTGGACTTGGACAAAGTTTCTCACATACCTGAATTTAGGCTTATGGTATTCGAAACATGAATATTGCTTTTGGTAATCTGGTCAAACTTTGATAAACTGATAAACATTATATGAAGAAACCTGTTAAGGTCTAGTTTTGGTGTTAAGCAACCCATGCTTGTCGTAAGTGGAACCTAAGAGGATAGGATGGTCAGGCTCGCTGACGTGGTTGACACATCGTATACCAATTGCGATCAGTGCTCATGCTGTTGACCACTGGATTCTCTACACTTGATTTTTAACAGACTTGCCACACAGCTGGAATATTGCTGAATGTGGTGTTAAACAAAGAAACATTAAAGACATGAAGCTAAGAATGAGTATTGTGATTACAATAAGAATCATGCCCATGAGATTACCTTGACAGATACAGATACACAGACAGAGATATTTCGCTGAGACTATTTCGCAGCATGTTAACCTGCATGTAAAGATTGTCAGCGAGATATCTCAAGAACCATTCACTGGACTTTCTTCATATTTGACACCAAGCTTCATCCAGGGAAGGTGCAAGTTCCAGTCGATTTTGGTGACCTTCACGTAATTTTCAAGGTCACGGCGACACTTTGAAGATGTCAGCATGTTAAACTGCATGTTAAAGACTCAGCGAGATATCTCAAGAACTGTTCACTGGATTTTCTTCATAGACTTTCAAGACTTCCCTTGAATGTTTTTCAATAAGCAATTTCTTTATTACTATTTTTGCATATTTCATACACTAAGACATTCATGTCAAGGTCAAAGTGAGGGGCGTTGGGGTAGCCTAGTGGTTAAAGCGTTGGCTCGTCACGCCGAAGACCCGGGTTCGAATCCCCACATGGGTACAATGTGTGAAGCCCATTTCTGGTGTCCCCCACTGTGATGTTGCTGGAATATTGCTAAAAGCAGTGTAAAACCAAACTCAGTCAGTCAGTCAGTCAAGGTCAAAGTGAGTCTTGAAAATATTTGTGTGTTTGAACAACTACAGAGCAAGATATCAAGAGAGGTTGACTGGTCATGTTTTTGTTGATATTTAACTTCATCTTAAATTACGACCTTCACTTTCATTACTTTTTAAGTTTGATTTGATAATTTGCGACAAGGGATTATGTCACCTTAGTGACAATGCTTGTTTGTTATTTAATTAGGATTAATTAAGAAGGAATTAATTAGGGAGTACTCACTGTTACAACTAAACACTACTGATAAAGGATTATAGTTTCGAATCAAAACATACTGAGAATCCAATGATCGGTCGGTTGTCTCGAAGTTCGGATAACTTGATATTTTTCTTGGTCCCATGAATATCGAGACAACGGTGCTCGACTGTAGTTTCATCCTTATCTTGTCTTCCAGCTCCTGAAAGCGCTGCCAGTCCTTCAGAGTCAGTTGAATGCACTTATAGAATTTGACGTGAGTATGCTCTTGCTTCATGACTGTTGTTTCTTTGTTCGTCTTTTACTAATGGACCCCGTGAAGATCCAAGTTAGAATTGGTCTTCAGTAACCCATGTATCCTGTATTGTGTGTGAGTGATTGCGTAACTAGGACTGTATCCACCAACTCCAATCACATCGGTCCGGGTTAGAATTGGTCTTCGGCAACCCACGCTTGTCTTAAGAGGCGACTAATGGGATCAGGTGGTCAGGCTCGCTGACTCGGTCGACACATGTCATCATATCCCAATTGCGTAGATTGATGCGCATGCTGTTGATCACTGGATTGTCTGGTATAGACTCGATTATTTACAGACTGTTGCCATATAGTAGGAATATTGCTGAGTGGTGTTAAACAACAAACCAACCAACCAATCTATTAATGATTTATGTTGGTAAGCACAGTCAGTTCTTCACAGGATTTGTATACACTACCTTTCTCTATCTCCCATGAATACAAATGGAGAATTTACAGTGTCAAGTGTTAGGGATGCTCAAAGCAATGTGCTCTCCGGTAATGTTTGACAGAAGACGACCTGCCGCACACAATGCTTCAATATTACACAGGTTTCGTGTTTAGAATAGGTTTAGTTTGACTTCTGTGAGTATTTAATTTCGTTGTCAACTAGAACTAGACAAACATCCATGTGACATATAGTATGGACACAAATAGCACACTGTTAAGTGTCTCTCAACCCCCACCCTGGTTAGTTTGTGAAACACTGACTCACTAATAACTATTTCCTGCTGTGAAGTTCCCGATATTCTCTGTTGTATTTTATGTCACAAGCTGAAATCAGGAAGCTCCTTTTCCCCCAACATCTCTATTCTTTTAATAAGGAACATAATGGCAGGAGTATGTAGTCAAACTTTTCACAGTCTCATTGCTTTAGGGACAGTGGCGTAGCATAGTGGTCAAAGCTTCCTTTCGTCATGACGAAGGCCTAGGTTCATTTCCCATCATTGGCAGATTGTGTGAAGCCCATTCATGGTCACTCACTCACTCTCACTCACTCACTCACTCACTCACTCACTCACTCACTCACTCACTCACTCACTCACTCACTCACTCACTCACTCACTCACTCACTCACTCACTCACTCACTCACTCACTCACTCACCTCTCAAGGGATATGTTTGTTTGGTAATAACTACGATGTGCTGCTAGCTGCACAAAATACAAAGCTAAAATGGTTTTGTATTTTTAATAAGACAGTGGTCATTCGGTAAATTATCATCAAGATGCTGTGATCTGGTCGAAGGTCCCATGTTTTGCCCAGGCCTTGGTCTTTGTTAGGCTCTATACCAGGGATTTACCTTGAGTCCTGTATTTGAGGGTCCCTGGGACTCATGCTCGTAATTTTCAGGGGTCCTGGACTACAAAATTGGGGGTCCCAGACACTTAAATATTAGTATTAATACTGGTATTGTATTGTGTATCATGATCATCACATTGTTACAGTAATTAAATTGCAAATAATACTATAACCCAGCTAGTAGCAAACTCAGTGATAAGTTATTGTTACTTGATTGGAATTTTTACAAAAAATATTTGGACTTTTTCTGCGTCCCTTTGGATGCTCTAATAATTTTGTTGCATCCATTGCCAATTTTTATGCATGTAGCACGCAGGAATTCGCATCCTGTAAGTCCCTGCTCTATACCCATCTAGGGTGTATTGAAAGTTGTATGTCCAAATTAAGAGATTGTAACATAATGCATTGCGAAGTTAAATTATGCTTATTGTGATGATTCATATTGTAGACCCATGGTGTAAGCTTGCACCCTTAAGGATTGCTCTCTAAGGGCCCCATGGGTGGTTGGGTAGCTTATTGGTTAAAGCATTTGCTTGTCACTCCGAAGACCCAGGTTCGATTCCCCACATGGGTTCTGTATGTGAAGCCCATTTCTCGTGTCCCGACGTGATATTGCTGAAACATTGTTAAAAGCGGCGTAAAACCATACTCACTCACTTGAGAGCCCCACTTGGGCCCCCAGGGATAGTTACTTGTTCATGTTTGGCTAGATAGTTGACTAGACTAAATAATAGATAAGAGACTACATTTGTGTGCAATTATTATAGAGGAAACTAGAAAAATTTGATTGCATCATTCAGTTCATTCTTATTCACATCATGTTGATATGTTATTATTTTATCCACAGTGTACGCCAAACGAGCTGACAAATGGTGTGATTAACGCGTGTTTCATGTTGCTCTTCAAAGACCTCATACGACTGTTTGCATGCTACAATGACGGAATCATCAATCTTTTAGGTGAGGAGTTTGATACAAAATGTAGAAGTACATTGTCATAATATGAACCTGTATTTAAAGGATTCTGACTTGTATCTTTGCTTTGTATATTATGAGCTATTTATTTCCATTCATTAATGTGGCAGTGGGGTAGCCCAGTGGTTAATGCGTTCGTTCGTCACACCAAAGATCAGGGTTCGAATCCCCACATGGGTACAATTTTTAAGACCCATTTCTGGTGTCCTCTGCCGTGATATTGCTGGAATATTGCTGAAAGTGGCGTGAAACCCAACTCACTCACTCTAGTAAACAATTTGGGACAAGAGTTCCTGTAGTGGGTTAAGAGGTGGGACCCTCGCCTATGTTGGTTGTAAGAGGTAACCAGGCCCTTCAGACGATCAGATTTTGGGACTTGGTTGATAGTATGCCCCAATACCCTGACATCATGGACTCTCATAGAATCAATCACTGGATTGTCTGCTCCAGTTGCGACTGATTAAATACCAACATCACACCTGGAACATTGTTGAGTGCAGTGTTCCACATCCTCTTATGATTGTCCTCCGAGCTAAGGAAGTTGAGAATAGGCTGGCCTTAATGGCTGTGGAATTTGAATTATTCCTGAAGTGGGGACCTCTAGTGATCGTAGTACTTTTAGTGGAAACATACTGCACGCGGAGCAATGTGATTGCTTTGTAAGACAGTGACCTTCTCAGACCAATCTGCTCTTGTCACAGTATACTCCCTATAACAGCTGGCATTGTGTATTCACCTGATGAAGGTGTTGAATATTTCTTTAATACTGTATAAACTAAGGCTTGCAATCGATGTAGATTATAGAGATAGAAAATCATGAAATATGTATTGATCAACTATTGATCAATATCTGAGAAAAAAGGATTCTGAGCAAAAATGCCCCCAAAGTCTAAAAGAAATCATATTTCACATCACTAGTGAGCGCTGACATTTATGCATCAGATCACAAACAAAACAGCGTCCTGAACATAATGTACAGTCCGTTTGACTTCATTTGATTTGTCTCAAATAGCGAAAAGTGACAACAAAATAATGATCGTTTGTTAAACAACTTTTTTATTCGGGTGTCCAAAATTATGAGACAAATCCTCAGAGTTGGTCTGTCGATTTCATGTGACTTTGCACAGTTTGATTTTGTTGCACTTACTAGATTTTTTGTTAGTGAGCAATTCATCAGTCTCAAATGAAGTCAAACGGACTATAGAAGCATCCCTTAAATAAAATTGTACCTTTGCGGAAATTAACACTATATTTCATTAAAATGGTTTATGTATGATATCGATGACTCAGTATTCATGCTGATAATCAATTATAAATCTTCCCATCCAGGACATTTCTGATTGTCAATCTTTTTAGCCAGCCCCAGTACAAACATCACATGACAACTGTCTTTCACATTCACTTAATGAATCACCAAACATCTGGGATTTTGTAAATATTAAGATCTTTCACAGTATTATGTGAGCGGTTTTGTGATAGCTATGTTTTGACAGTTACCAGTAACAGAATTCTTCTTTTTACAGAAAAATATTTTGACATGAACAAGAAGCAGTGTAAAGAAGGCCTCGACATTTACAAAAAGTTTTTAGTCAGCATGGACAAAGTGTCTGAATTCCTCAAAGTTGCTGAGGTAATTATCCTTGTTACATTTTGTTTTCCATGTTGACTTTGAGTTACATATGATCCCTTCATGTTGGATCGTATGAAAAACTTTCACTAGATACCATTGTAAAACTATAATAGAAGTTACATTTTTACTTGTCAGTGTTTATATCAGGCATTACTGGCTGGTGTTGTGTGGACAATATTTCTGTCTTCTCATCAGAATTTCCTTAATTCAAGTCTTAACCCAAGGCACTTCACAATAGCTGTCTTGAATATTCCAATTTTCAACCAAATGATTCATGTTTATGCAAATTGTTTATCTTTGCATGCCCACTGCTTTTATCTTTCACATTTTAACAGAATTCTGCAGTATTTTCTCTACTGTGCTGATTATACTGCAAATAAACTGAAATTAATATGTGTTTGTTGATATGGTAAATACTCTGTTTTTCTTCCCCAGAATGTTGGTATCGACAGAGGGGATATTCCTGATCTGGCCAAGGTAGGTATCCATGACTTGCACAGGCTTTTGCTGACTGTCAAACCACATCATGACTTTTGCCGATTGTCAAACACATCTGACACCAACTGAGGTGATGTTTGTCTGCCGTTATGTCACTTCTGAATTCATCTGTAAAAAAATGTCCAGGTTGTAATCATGGCAGCCTGTTATATGGCACATCAGCACAGGGACAATAGCAGATGTTGACGAGTCTTTTATGTGATGATAAAAGTACCCTTGTATTCTCGTCGAAAGAATTCATGATGTGAATTCGTTTATGTGGTTCAGTTCGTTTGGGCAGACAAACATTGCTTTTGTTACTGACCTCACATGCTTGGTCTACTCAGGCAGTAATGGATGCTGAAATGTGCATGATGTCCCTAGCATGTAATATATAACATGATGATCTACAGTAGGAGTTGGGAGCATTGATGCAGTATTGTCCACATCTGATCTCTCACAGATCAAGCAGTACAGAGTTGCTGCTGTATTGAGCAGATGATGAATATTTTAAGCATATTGTAGCCATATGTATTATTGATTTACAAAGGTTATCACTGGTTCATGACCTTAATAGTATTCTTTATGGTAACAGATACTTAGTACTGATTTGTTTTCAGGCCTTGGATCATTTTGGTCTTACATGGTGTAGTTTAGTTGTCATCTTAGTTCCTGCATTCAGAGGAGTTTCTTTCAATAGTCTGTTTTGTTCCTTCCAGCTCTGTCTCTTGCACTGTAGACTGTAGAAGTAGATTTGTTATGAATCTTTATTTCTTTGTTCACACTGGCCACTCAGAAGTGATGCTCTCTATGTCATTTATAATTATAAACAATGACAGAAATTGTAACAATCACTCCTGATGATGAAGAGAAAATTTGATTATTTAGACTCGAAGAGAAGTTGAATAGTGAGATACAAATGTCATAATCATTGCTTGAGTTTTCTAGCTTTTACTTTTCCTTTGGTGATGTTTTCAGAAACTATAGGTTCTATAGCTTATGGTTCTAACAGTTCCGAACTGAGGTAAAATAGTTTTATTGTCATTCTTTTCAATCTTTCTTACTGTTCAAATGAGAAAAAATTGTATATTAAAGGCCCAAAAATATTTTCTTTTAGTTTGATGTTAATTGCTGTTCAGTTCTGTGTGGCCAGTTTCCTGTCTTTTTTTTGTTTGATTTTTAGTTTATTTCTGTTTCTTCCCAGGGAATGAGGAACAATACGAAAAGTGTAAGTGTCAGATTTGTGAAACAAGTTTGAATCCAGATGAACCCATAAGATGGAACGTCCTTTACTAACTTGTTCTGTCCATTTCAGCTTCAGTCTTGCTCTGTTAAATATCTCATCTCTAAAACCTTGTGAGTTATGCCCCTTTCAACAGCCTGCAACTATGTGTACAAGCAGTGGCTTTGTGCTGCATCAGCAGTATAGCATGCAAGTGTATTCTCAGGGTAAAAAATAGGGTGATAACAGCAGCCTGTGAACAAAACTATTGAGACTGCTAGCCCAAACTTGGTCCTGAGCATCATTTTAAAAAAATCATAGTGTGTACATGACCTGTTTTTGGTTAAGATCACTGGAACAAACTGACTTTTACTTGACTAAGGCTTTGGACAAGTGGCTTAAGTCACAGGTACATGCAAGTGAATCAAGTTCTCCAAAAGGAGTTTTCTTTCTTTCTATCATTTATATACTGCTTTTTCTTTAAAACACATTTTTTGGATTGTTTTGCAGAAAGAAATATCACAGATAATGATTTCAGCTAATGAAATATTTGTGTATGTGGCAAAATGAAAACAATTACTGTTTTCTGAATATTGTGATCCTCTAATACACATACCTTTTCACTAAAATACTAAACCTGTTTTATAAAAATCATATTGCTTGAAAAACATTTCTTTTCCTCTTCTTAATCAAATTAAGAAATACTTCCGCCTAACAGGCTGTAACCCAGTACCATGCATCCATGTTTTGCCAAATACTAGATGATAACCAACTTGTTTCGTGGCTTGTGCCAGTAATCTGCCAGCATGTTCAGGTGGAGGAAGTACTGACCAGTCCTGACACCGTCTATCATTGCTGCAAGTGTACTGCTCCTTCCAAGCCACCTGTAATGCATGACGCCAGTATTTGCTTTGTGTACTGCAACTCTATAGACAATGTGCATCAATGCTGTCCAACTGACTACATCTAGCCCATTATGTAGCATTGTACTTTAGGATTTTACACAACCATGTTGTATGATGTGTGATATCCATGCCACTGAATGGTGTGTTGTGATGTTTACAGGTATACATGCCTAATTGTATTAATGCTGAACCATATCGTAGGATATTTTCAGACATCACTAATGATGTTAGCAGAAAATTATGTCTTACGATGTTAACAGATCTAATGATGTTAACAGAAAATGGGGTCTTGTGATGTTAACAGATCTATTATGTTAACAGAAAATGGTGTCTTATGATGTTAACAGATCTATTATGTTAACAGAAAATGGTGTCTTGTGATGTTAACAAATCTAATGATGTTAACAGAAAATGGTGTCTTGTGATGTTAACAGATCTATTATGTTAACAGACAATGGTATCTCATGTCTTATGATGTTAACAGAATATGATGTCTTACGATGTTAACAGAAAATGATGTCTTATGTTGTTAACAGATCTAATGATGTTAACAAAGTGTCTAATAGTGTTAACAGAAAATGAGGTGATGTGTTTTCATATCTGATGTTAAGAGAACGATGTGTTGTGACATTACAGATTTAATTCTGTTAACAGAATGGTGTAATACTATAAATAACTTTGCCTTGTTATGGCATCTAGCTTTCCAGGCATTACTGGGTTACTCACTAACATATTGGAATGATTACTTCACACTATAGATGCTCTTAGTTGAAGTGAGTTGTGTGTTGACCTGGGTTGATTATTTCAGGCTCCAGCAAGTCTCCTCGATGCCCTAGAGCAACATCTCCTGTCTCTGGAGGGAAAGAAGGGATCTGTCACCACCACCACTGCCACCCCCAAGTAAGAAACACCTCCTCCACACACTCCACCACACAATCCGCTGGTCTGTCCTTGTGTTGATTCCATGACACAAGTCTGCTGGTCTGTCCTTGTGTTGATTCCACAACATAAATTAGTCCACTGGTCTGTCCTTGTGTTGATTCCATGACACAAATAAGTCTGCTGGTCTGTCCTTGTGTTGATTCCATGACACAAATAAGTCCGCTGGTCTGTCCTTGTGTTGATTCCATGACACAAATACGTCCTGCTGGTCTGTCCTTGTGATTCCATGACACAAATATGTCTGCTGGCCTGTCCTTGTGGTGATTCCATGACACAAATACGCCTGCTGGCCTGTCCTTGTGTTGATTCCATGACACAAATAAGTCCACTGGACTGTCCTTGTGATTCCATGACACAAATAAGTCCGCTGGCCTGTCCTTGTGGTGATTCCATGACACAAATACGTCTGCTGGACTGTCCTTGTGATTCCATGACACAAATATGTCTGCTGGCCTGTCCTTGTGGTGATTCCATGACACAAATACGTCTGCTGGCCTGTCCTTGTGATTCCATGACACAAATACGTCTGCTGGCCCTTCCTTGTGATTCCACAACACAATAAGTCTGCTGGCCTGTCCTTGTGGTGATTCCATGACACAAATAAGTCACCTGGTCTGTCCTTGTGATTCCATGACACAAATGAGTCCACTGGTCTGTCCTTGTGGTTATTCGACGACACAAATCAAGATATTTATGATGTGGTTGCTAATTAATCATCACCACCCCCAAGTAAGAAACACCTCCTCCACACACTCCACCACACGACACACGCTGGTCTGTCCTTGTATTGATTCCATGACAAAAATAAGTCCGTTGGTCTGTTTTTGTGTTGATTCCATGACACAAGTCTGCTGGTCTGTCCTTGTGTTGATTCCACAACAAAAATAAGTCCACTGGTCTGTCCTTGTGTTGATTCCACAACACAAATACGTCTGCTGGCCTGTCCTTGTGATTCCATGACACAAATACGTCTGCTGGCCCTTCCTTGTGATTCCACAACACAATAAGTCTGCTGGCCTGTCCTTGTGATTCCACGACACAAATAAGTCCACTGGTCTGTCCTTGTGATTCCACGACACAAATGAGTCCACTGGTCTGTCCTTGTGGTTATTCGACGACACAAATCAAGATATTTATGATGTGGTTGCTAATTAATCATCACCACCCCCAAGTAAGAAACACCTCCTCCACACACTCCACCACACGACACGCTGGTCTGTCCTTGTGTTGATTCCATGACACAAATAAGTCCACTGGTCTGTCCTTGTGTTGATTCCATGACACAAATAAGTCTGCTGGTCTGTCCTTGTGTTGATTCCATGACAAAAATAAGTCCTGGTCTGTCCTTGTGTTGATTCCATGACACAAATATGTCTGCTGGCCTGTCCTTGTGGTGATTCCATGACACAAATACGTCTGCTGGCCTGTCCTTGTGATTCCATGACACAAATACGTCTGCTGGCCCTTCCTTGTGATTCCACAACACAATAAGTCTGCTGGCCTGTCCTTGTGGTGATTCCATGACACAAATAAGTCACCTGGTCTGTCCTTGTGATTCCATGACACAAATGAGTCCACTGGTCTGTCCTTGTGGTTATTCGACGACACAAATCAAGATATTTATGTCAAGGGCGTGGTTGCTAATTAATCATCACTATTTCTTACAGACCAGCAGGGTTTGCCTCTGCACTGTCAACTATCTCCAACAACAGCTCAGCGTTAAATGTAAGCGAGGATGAAAAGAAGCGGATCCTAGATGAGGAGAACCAACGCCTACACCAGCTGAAGGTAGTAAGTGTTTCATATAAGCTTGACACCACCACGGTCATCGCAACTGGACATCTCTTTCTCTACTGCTACTCTTAACCTGATCTCGCCGTATGCCTGCCTGCCGCCTGCCCAGGCCGCTGTTCAGTGTCGACTGACGTAGATGCCTCCTGCATGGACTCAACTGGCATGTCGTCATCGTCGCTGCTGTTGCTGCCGCTTATGTACAGTCACCTGTGCAGCCCAACTGCCATCAGCCAGATGTGAACAGCTCTCTGCCACAGTCATTATCTCCCTTTGGCCTAAAAAACTCTCTTCCGTACACTTCCATAGTGCGCCAACTAAATGCATAAGTTTTTGCAATTTTAGGACATGTATTAGTTTTCATGTTAAAAAGAACTAAACAGTCAGGAACCATCTCCACATGACTGTATATTTGCATTATTGTACAGCCCATTATGATATTAGGAAGCCATGGATTATCATGTCTTAATCACTGCATATTTGACAAAACTGTTTCATTAGGAACATACAGTATTAAATTCATAGCAGGTACAACAAAATGTTTCTCTTAGTGCCTGAATTAATTTTGTAGAAAAGAAATTGAATAGGTTATGCAGTGGCACAGGGCTGGCAGTGGTGTGAAACCAGTTGAACCCGGCAGGTTGTGTGGAGAGGTTTGTGGTCACCCTAGACTAACATTAACCGTGTCTTCACTAACATCCATGTTGTTTCATGTACTTCTCACATGCCTGTAGTCGTAACAGGGGACACAGACAGTTTGCTGCAGAACAAAGATAAGACTCTCTAGATTAATGAATAGGTGCCATAAATTGGACCTTTTGCTGAGTGGATTTTGTTATAGTTACCATACTTCCAGTGTCAATATATATGTATAATGTCAACAACCTGGTCTTGCTCACAGTTATGAGCCATTTTCACAAGAGACGATAATCCAATGTAGCCTGGACATTTTTTATTCTTCCCTGTTTTGTATCACATTTTGTTGTATTTATTTTTGGAATGACATCCACTATGGAAAAAAATGCATGTAGCTTACGTAGGGAAATTTATCATTTCAGTAGTCATTTAGAATTTGAATTTTTTTTAAAATATGTGACTTTGCAACTGAAAGAAATTCGTGTTTCCTGGTTCATTACTAGAGCATGTGTTTGTTTCTGTTTTAAATTGTTTTCTACAAATCTAACACTGAAACAGTGCACACTTCCTTTATACGTAGATGTTGCTTTCAGTAATCTCTGCATGACCTTCCTAGTGCTTAGTGTCAATAGTTGTTGTAGAGCACAGTGTAGATACAGCTCTCTCTTCTGTTGCCTTAGGTACAATGTGTGAGGCCCACTGTCTGGTGCCTCGTGTCACATTGCTGGATTATTGCTATAACTGGTGTACACCATATTCACTCACTCACTCACTCACTCACCCGCTTTGCTGACCTAAATAGTCTGATCGCCTTAGTGGCTGATGGCTCTAGGTACTGACACGGTACACATAACAGTGACATGTTTCTCAGTAGGCACAGTTTTAATGCACAAAATTGATAAATCTTATATCCTATTTGACAAAGGACCTCAGGTTAGTCATGAAGGCCATTTCACCATGATAATCATTGAAGAACAAGGCAAGTTCATGTCCCAATATGTAAAAAGAGTTGAATCTGTAAGTATTATCAGCCTGATCAACTGAAGAGTTGGTCAATAAAGGACAGGCACCGACCTATATGTAATGACTTACCTGTGTAGTATAGAGGCCAGGTATCAATCTATGTATAATGAGTCACCTGTGTAGTATATAGGCCAGGTATCAACCTATGTATAACGAGTCACCTGTGTAGTATATAGGCCAGGTATCAACCTTTGTATAACGAGTCACCTGTGTAGTATATAGGCCAGGTATCAATCTATGTATAATGAGTCACCTGTGTAGTATATAGGCCAGGTATCAACCAATGTATAACGAGTCACCTGTGTAGTATATAGGCCAGGTATCAATCTATGTATAACGAGTCACCTGTGTAGTATATAGGCCAGGTATCAATCTATGTATAATGAGTCACCTGTGTAGTATATAGGCCAGGTATCAACCTATGTATAATGAGTCACCTGTAGTATATAGGCCAGGTATCAATCTATGTATAATGAGTCACCTGTGTAGTATATAGGCCAGGTATCAATCTATGTATAATGAGTCACCTGTGTAGTATATAGGCCAGGTATCAACCTATGTATAATGAGTCACCTGTGTAGTATATAGGCCAGGTATCAACCTATGTATAATGAGTCACCTGTGTAGTATATAGGCCAGGTATCAACCTATGTATAACTGAGTCACCTGTGTAGTATATAGGCCAGGTATCAACCTATGTATAATGAGTCACCTGTGTAGTATATAGGCCAGGTATCAACCTATGTATAATGAGTCACCTGTGTAGTATATAGGCCAGGTATCAACCTATGTATAACGAGTCACCTGTGTAGTATATAGGCCAGGTATCAACCTATGTATAACGAGTCACCTGTGTAGTATATAGGCCAGGTATCAATCTATGTATAATGAGTCACCTGTGTAGTATATAGGCCAGGTATCAATCTATGTATAATGAGTCACCTGTGTAGTATAGAGGCCAGGTATCAACCTATGTATAATGAGTCACCTTTGTAGTATAGGCCAGGTATCAACCTATGTATAATGAGTCACCTGTGTAGTATATAGGCCAGGTATCAATCTATGTATAATGAGTCACCTGTGTAGTATAGAGGCCAGGTATCAATCTATGTATAATGAGTCACCTTTGTAGTATATAGGCCAGGTATCAACCTATGTATAATGAGTCACCTTTGTAGTATATAGGCCAGGTATCAACCTATGTATAACGAGTCACCTTTGTAGTATATAGGCCAGGTATCAACCTATGTATAACGAGTCACCTTTGTAGTATATAGGCCAGGTATCAACCTATGTATAATGAGTCACCTGTAGTATAGAGGCCAGGTATCAACCTATGTATAACGAGTCACCTTTGTAGTATATAGACCAGGTATCAACCTATGTATAACTTGAGTCACCTGTGTAGTATATAGGCCAGGTATCAACCTATGTATAACGAGTCACCTGTGTAGTATAGAGGCCAGGTATCAATCTATGTATAATGAGTCACCTGTGTAGTATATAGGCCAGGTATCAACCTATGTATAATGAGTCACCTGTGTAGTATATAGGCCAATGATCAACCTATGTATAACGAAGTCACCTGTGTAGTATATAGGCCAGGTATCAATCTATGTATAATGAGTCACCTGTGTAGTATATAGGCCAGGTATCAACCTATGTATAATGAGTCACCTGTGTGTAGTATATAGGCCAGGTATCAACCTATGAATAACGAGTCACCTGTGTAGTATATAGGCCAGGTATCAATCTATGTATAACGAGTCACCTGTGTAGTATATAGGCCAGGTATCAACCAATGTATAACGAGTCACCTTTGTAGTATATAGGCCAGGTATCAACCTATGTATAATGAGTCACCTTTGTAGTATAGAGGCCAGGTATCAACCTATGTATAACGAGTCACCTTTGTAGTATATAGGCCAGGTATCAACCTATGTATAATGAGTCACCTGTGTAGTATATAGGCCAGGTGTCAACCTATGTATAACGAGTCACCTGTGTCGATATAGGCCAGGTATCAACCTATGTATAATGAGTCACCTGTAGTATATAGGCCAGGTATCAACCTATGTATAACGAGTCACCTTTGTAGTATATAGGCCAGGTATCAACCTATGTATAATGAGTCACCTGTGTAGTATATAGGCCAGGTATCAACCTATGTATAACGAGTCACCTTTGTAGTATATAGGCCAGGTATCAACCTATGTATAACGAGTCACCTGTAGTATATAGGCCAGGTATCAACCTATGTATAACGAGTCACCTGTGTAGTATATAGGCCAGGTATCAACCTATGTATAACGAGTCACCTTTGTAGTATATAGGTTAGGTATCAACCTATGTATTATGTGTATACACATTTGTGGCCATGTTGCAATGCTTAGTAGTAACTTAGTGTGCATTAAGAGTTATTCCGAAGGGGCAAATTTTGCATTGTTGGTAAAATTTCTCCTTTTGAATCTTCTGAATTTGTGTTTGAGATTTTGGCTGACATTTTATGTTGTGGACTGTTGATAAAGATAAGTCACCTTTCCCTCACCCCAACACTTGAAAAATGTCAATTTTAATATTTTCACTTTGGTGATTTCAATGAATAAGTTTAACTGTGCATTGTAGGAACAGCGAATGAAGGAACTACAGTCAACTTCCACTACCACGCCAACCTCATCGCCGACCACCCAGTCAAACCCATTCACAGCAGGGACAGCGACGACCAGATCAGTGGACTTGTTTGGGCCCAATTCCCCGACAGCATCGTCCACTCCTGCAACCAATGGGAAACCAAGCGATGACTTGCTCAGCCTCAATGCCAACCCATTTGCACAGAACGTAGAGAGTGTAATGGCTACAGCGTATGGCGGACAACAGCAGCAGCAGCAGCAGCAGCAGCAACAAAACAACCCTTTTGCAGTGAACACAGGCTGGAATACCAACAGTATGTTACATAGTCTCTAGCTTTGTCACTTCATTCGTGGGTTCAATAGCGGCATGGATGGCCTAGTTGTCTGAGAAGCTGCAATTTGCTGTGCATGTGTGTTGAATCTTTTGGCATCCAAGAAACCTGTTACTCTCACAAACTCTCTTACATTATTGCTATAAATCCTGTATAATTCTTACAAATCCTCGACCTCTATTAGAATAAATATATGCAGCATGAAACTACAAAAAATAATTCGATTTTTCTTCAATACTATGAAGAGCAGATACGTTTTCAAGCATGCCCTCATCATGATATTGCAGAAATATTGCTAAAGTGGCTTAGGACCATACTCACTCACCCCATTTTCCTGCTTGTAGCAAAAGAAGCTCATTTATTTGATTTTGTTCCAGACACAGCCAATTTTGGCAATGAAGTTGACTTTGCAAAAGCATTCAACAACACCAATACCCCAGCACAAGGTAAGATGGCTACTGCCTTTGGTACATTTTTCAAGAAATTCCTTTGCCAGTATGTGTAAGAAGCTGGCTTTTAAAAACCATTTTCAGCACATAAATAGGAGCCTGCATAATTTGGTGTCAGTGTAAAACCCCAATTCCACAAACTGCTTTCTACCTCATATAATAATGAAGTTGTTGCTATAGTCTTGACAAGATGTGTGAACAGGTCTTAATCAACAACCATGTGTGTATCTGTGCCCAAGAATCCTCATGAACTCTTGCTTGTTATGATGGGCAGGGAATAGAAGGAGTGTGAAGCAGAGAATATAGACAAATAGCTAGGCAACAATGACAGCTGACTGATGGTTTCCAACCAGGGCAGATGTTAACCTGCCAGATTATGTACGTTGGGTTGGTTGGGATAGCCTAATGATCAAAGCGTTGGGTTGGTTGGGATAGCCTAATGATCAAAGCGTTGGGTTGGTTGGGATAGCCTAATGATCAAAGTGTTGGGTTGGTTGGGTTGGTTGGGATAGCCTAATGATCAAAGTGTTGGGTTGGTTGGGATAGCCTAATGATCAAAGTGTTGGGTTGGTTGGGATAGCCTAATGATCAAAGTGTTGGGTTGGTTGGGATAGCCTAATGATCAAAGTGTTGGGTTGGTTGGGATAGCCTAATGATCAAAGCGTTGGGTTGGTTGGGATAGGCTAATGATCAAAGCGTTGGGTTATCATGTTGATGGGTTGGTTGGCTAATGATCAAAGCGGGTTGGTTGGAATAGCCTCATGTCAAATTTATCATGTTGATGAGTTATGATGACGTGGTTTCAATTTCCTGCATGAGTAGAATGCGTTAAGCCATTTCTGAAGTCTGATTGACGGTGGAATATTGCTATAAGCAGAGTAAGGCCCAATCACTCACTACTTCTTCCCTGAGGAGGATAGTCTATTCTAACAAAGGGGTGGTGGGGTAACCTAGTGGTTAAAGCGTTCACTCGTCATGCTGAAGACCTGGGCGTCATGCTGAAGACCTGGGTTCGATTCCACACATGGGTACAATGTGTAAAGCCCATTTCTGGTGTCCCCCGCGATGATATTGCTGGAATATTGCTAAAGGTGGCGTAAAACTAAACTCACTCACTCTGTCACTATTCTAACATAGGGATCAAAGTATTATTTTGAATAAAGGTTTAATGAACATATTCAGTGATATAATCATTGATATGTGAGAACACATAAACATTCACCTTCAATATAGACAAAAATGAGACTTGTTTTAAACTACTACTCTAAATATTTTAATTCACAACAAAAAAGAGGTAATTTTAGTGAAATCTTATTAGTAATTGATTTTTGATTGTGAAATCACCATGAGATCACCCTACAGACACTCTGGTATACAACTGTAACATGTAGATATAGTGTACAACACCATTCACCTGCCCCAGCTTACAAGTATTAAGTATGTACAGTACACACAGAAACATGGCTTCCATGTAGTCTGTTGCACAAATCAGGCTGGAATTATCAGATGTAGATGTCATGCTTGGTGCTGATATTAGGAAAACAATTTTATTAATGTCTTCCACAAACTGACCTACCGCATTAGCCATTCAAAATACCCTGTTCCAATAAGTGCATCCTGACCACCAGTAAGATTAATCTGTCTCTGTAAGTAATCTTTATAGGGGCATGTGTACCCAGACATGAAAGTGCTGAACTATTCTATAGTTTTACTAAAAGACAAAACTTTGCATGCCTGTCCTTATGTCCCTATTTTCTTGTGTAGTATATATCATTGCCTTTTAACTACACTGATCTTTTGAAAACAAATTTGATATTTAAATTTAATCAGTTCATAGAAAACTTCCTCCCCAGACAATTGTCTTTTTTAAAATTTCTGGAGCACTTATTATGACAAATACAGTAACTGCAGTAGAACCTAGTTACTCTGAATATACATGGATAGGAAGTAGATAGTGCTGGTGATGAGAACACTAATACAGAAGTATTGACCACTGTGACAGATTAATTATATCGTAGGATGTAATCAGGTTTTCTTAACTTCTTTTCAGTTGTATATTATGCAAAATTTGGAGCACCTTTAGAATACAGCACTGTAACTTCTTATGAGAACAATCTCTGCAGTAGGCCACATGTCTATGACTGTATTTCTTGGATTTACTCTGTATAACAAATTTTAATCTACCTGATATTACAAACTGATTTTTCACTGCAAACAACCCTAAACATTGGTCACCTCAGTCAGTATCGGTTACCATCAGCAGTTGATACTTTCAACAAACGTGTAATTATTGCTTCAGTACACATACAGATTAGTGTACCTCAGTTGGTCTCGAGTTCTAAAAACCACCAAAGCTGCTACAGGTGCAGATATTAAAACATATTCAAGTAACCATGGTAACAAATACAGATTTAAGTACAGAGTAATCTCAACAGTTGTCATAGGTTGGTGTGACCATGTGTTACAGTATATAACACTGTATTAAGACTAAACAACACATCAGTATGAAGAGAATGTGACACATCAGTACGAATACTATGCTACACATTATACATGCTGATACACAATTTACCTCGTCTCCTTAATAAAGCATACAACTTTATGAAAAACAACTTGTTTATTGTATAGAGCAACATTTCGGTTACACTGTTTTCAAAATAACGTTTTGCCTAAAATGGCGTAAGAGTCAACACCAAAATGTCGTTCTACGCAATAAACAAGAAGTTGTTGTTACCATAAAGTCGTATGCTTTTTTATTGACTCACCAACCTAGAATTCTAGAATGCCAATCAAACATGATGTCCTGCTTAGTCAGTAGTAAGAATAGCCTGCGTGACGACATTTAGCACTTGGAGATACATCAGATATGTACTGAGTGAGTGATACAAAGCTATTAACTCTTGCACCAGACTGTCTTTTATCACATCATAGGATTACACAATCTGAAGACAGCTTTAAATGTCTTTCTCGGTTGTGTTTTTTTTGTTTTTAAAGAAAATCTACTTCAAGAAATTTTGCACAACACCCTGAGTAGCATACCTGATGGTATGTGTGATAGAAAATATAACAGACTACATCACAGAATATTTGATATACACCAAAAATACCTTGTGTTGCTCTGCACAGAAACATTGTAGCTGGCAACTGATTTTGTTCATATTTTTATTTGCATTTCTCTCTATTATTTGCACTGTAATTTTTATCTATTCTTAAAATTAATCTGGATTTACTGCCCTTTGCAGTTCACAATTCTCGTGCTCACATAGGCCTTAAAGCGCCTCTCTAACTTCTTGCATGCTTCACACAATTCTAACATTGTCTTTTAAATGTGCTATTTAATACCAGTGGAATCACAACTATGCCATTTGAGAAGTGTGAAGAAGGCAACATTTTAATAATGTTTAGTATAAAATCCAGTTGAAAACTAATTCATACTTTGTTGGAAATAAATAGTTTTGATCATTGAAAATTTGAAAATGTTGTGATCCCATGCTTTTATGTTTAACCTATGCATGTCTCATTGCATGTGGTGTACTAACAGCAGGCCTGGAGACCCACCCACTCCCGGCTCTGGACACCACGGCACCACCAGGTACACCCCTTGCACCCACACCACGCCAGCATACACTTACAGGCACAGTGACAGTACATGACACAACAACATTACCCTCAGTTCCATCCTTGCTCCCTCCTTCTTCCTCCTCTCTCTCTCTTTCCCTCCCCCCTCTCTCCCTCCCTCCCTCTTCCTTCTCTCTCCCTCCCTTCCCCCTCTTCCTTCTTTCTCCCCCCTTGCATCTACAGTATAAGCATAGCCATACTCTAATTTCCTTACTACACACCTCACCCCCTGCACCTACACTGTGCCAGCAAACACATGCACACCCTAGAGGTCCATGACATTGCCATATGTTAACCTATTGGCCTTCACTATTATCCATTATACTTGTTGTCTGGTAAGTTCTGTTGAATTGAATGGCATTACTTTTGTGTGTCAGTCTGTGACATATGCTTCAAGACGACCGATGTGCCAACCGTGTGCCTTGTAAGCTCCTCTTGTGCAATGCAGTGAATCATTATAATCTTGGAGCAACCTACCTGTCGAGCTTGATGTTGAACTTTGACCTTGCTGTTTGTGCTGCGTGAAGCTGGGGCTGACCTTGGTTCTCCCCTTGACCCTCTGGATCCATCGCGTCACACCTCGGGAGCTACGGAACCTGCGTCCTTTGGCCTGGGAGGACTAGATATGTCTGGGGCACCAGACCTGCAGACTGGCTCTATGGGGATGCCCATGGAGGCCCCAGGGGGTCCCGGTCAAACAATAGGGATTGGCATGACTACTGGAAGAGGCCCTAGTCCAGTAATGGGGATGGGGATGAACCCTACTGGGTCTCCTCTTCCAGTGAGGATGAACATGGGGATCGGGAGATCCTTCTCAGGGGATGGGCCAGGGGATGGGGATGGGGATGGGAATGGGGACCCAAGCCAGATGGTAGGTCTTGGTGGCCCGGCACTGTCTCCTGGGCCTGTGCGACGCGGTGTCAGTCCCACAGGTAGACCATCAGCCTCCATACATCAGGCAGTATTTGTTTCTTTGTCATGTAACACATCGTGTCTGTATATCAGTCAGTGTATAAATCATTTATAACCTTGTGAGACTTTCAGAACATGTTGATTGGTCCACAAATGTTACATGTTGGAAATGTCAGTTTTGTAAAACAATTCTCACCATTTGGCCAGATGTCAAAGTGTGTGTTTTATATGGATCTGAAAGAGTATATGTTGTGTATACTACCTGTGTGTACCGATGTGAGGTGGTCATCTGCAAGTGTAGTTAGATTCCCATTAGCTGTGTAGACATATATATACGACTCGGTTCAGTAGCAACTTCAGCAGTTACATACCTTCTGTTTACCTCATTTCTTCCAGATTACAATATGGTGTGCCTATCATTTCCACTGTTGTGAAGTTCCAGTGTTCTGACTGTGTATCTATCATGTATGGTCTTGTATGACAAAGTATTGTCTAATTGTACCAATCTTCAGTCAGTATAACTTCCTTGACAGTCAGTATGGTCGGTCGATATCCGTTTCATTCGAGGACAAGTATAACACTAATTCCTTCAATGTGTGTTATTCTCATAAATAACCTTGGTGACTTACATGTGAAAATGTAGTCAGATACTAAAGCACAAATTCCGTTCACGATTTTGTGACACTTTATAGAGACATAGAACATCTTTGATTGGTTGTAATACACAGCATGAGTAGTTCTTAGCTAGTGGAGATATCAAGTTGATATTATTTTCCTTTGGTTCATTTCTGGACGAATTAGATCCCTAAGTTTGTGATGTTATTTCTACCTGTTAGATGTTTAGTGTGTTCATAGATCTGCGATATGTAATAACTGTATGCAATCAACGAGAATAGCTGGAAGATTGCTGATGTTCTTGTCAAACAATATTTACCCTCTGTATATTTTTAAAGCTGGAGGAAAATATGCTATTATACTCTTCAAAGTTAAATTAAACTAAACAAATCAGGACAGTCTATATTCAAAGATAAAGGAATTAAATTGATTTTAACTGACATTAAATTCAACCCTTTCTGGTACACAGTTGCATGTTAATATTGATGTCTGCAACTGAAGTTTCCTATAATTTTCAGCTGAACATGGATTATTCTTTACCCATGCTTTGTTTTATTTGAAGGACGAGTGACCTATTTGTTATGTAGCCAGTGAGCTAGATGAACCTGGCATGTATGCATTGTGTAGTTAGATCTGCTAACATGCTGGTTAACTTGTAGGTTTTGCTACAGGCGAGTGTGGCCTGTCACCCGCCTCTCCTAGCCCAGGTTAGTACGGTGTTGTTGAATATCCCTTCCCATCATGCATCAGACGGTACACATGCAGACCAAACATTTCTGGATATCTTGTAGTCAGATATATATTCTACTCAAAAGAAGTTATAGAGCTCTTCATCTTTTTCTATATGACTTCAGTTAATCTGTCATGGCCTGGCCAAATATATGGTACTGGAAGGTTAAGAACACTCAATTTCTTTATGGGATTGCAGTGAACGTGTCATGACAGGACAGATTACCGATAGTAATATGAAAGAATGGTGTGGTCCTTAACTTCTTTTGAGTGATATACATACCAGTTAGGAAGAAGCATTGTTTCGCTCTCTGTAATCAGAATTTGTGGTAACAGTAAATACCTCAGTTTGGAAGGTTTTTTACAAAACATGTTCACATTTTGAGGTGTCCAATTCAGGGAAAGTGATGTCTCTTAACTTCTCACATTGCAATCTGTGTTTTTCATAAAATGATTGAGATTTTACATTGAAGAAAAATGACGTCTTGTGCCTTTCAGTGGGGTCTTGACTTGACACACAATGAATTGTTATGATATCATGAGATATCCTTTTCAATAAAAATGTTATCTTTTTTCCTTTTAATTGAATCAATCATTAATGCTACTTCTTTTTGAGATATCTGGTACTCAATTCAGGGAAACTTTCATTGTTGTAGTAAAATGGGATCAGTGATCAACACTAATTCTCGATACAATTTTGTGAGAGGATTCAGGGAATGTTCCTTCCGTTTCTTGGTATGCCTGTTGTCTGTGTCTGGCTGCCAGTATCTGATACCTGCTGTCCTGTCTGCTTGCAGCACACCTCCCTCGAAGCACCACCCCCACCTATCTGGAAACAGGTACACCAGGAACATTCTCCAAAACACAACATCCTTTCTTTTCTTGTTTCACTTCACCATCACCTTGTCTCAGACAGTTACTTACTGTGTCCAGGACAGCTGGTATTGCATGGCCGGAATCATTTGTACATTGTGACACATCAAAGGAATTCTTTTGTTGATTAGATTTTCATTCTGTGACTTTATACTCTAGAGTACTTTATACACCTTTGTCCTTTCACGTCCAGAGTCTTGTTCAAAAGGATCTTCAAGCTAAGACTAGCATAAACTCAAAGCAATGGTCACAGTGAAAAGATAGTTTTTTCGTTGAGGGTTCAGCTTCTGTTCACTGTTTTGGTCATCTTGCAAGGATTTCCGAAGTGGCTCTGCATATTGTCAGTAATGGCATGTCCCAAGTGATGGAAAATATACTGGTTATGTCCCCCTTTGTTCTTTCTTCAAAAACACCATGGCAGTTTACTGAAGGTTTAGAGGTGAATCATAATTCTCAGTCATAGATGTAAAAGTTCAGATTTATTTCAACTGGTGTAAAAGTTGTTTGTTTTTGTATTTTGCAAAACATTTGTTAAGAGTAACATCTGTAGTCCCTAATTTATGAGTTGGCTGGGAGTAAGACATCCATTGGCTTTTTCATGAGATTTCTTACATCAAAACCAACAGCATATGTAGTCTGTGATTTGAAAAAGTCGTTATGCTTGGGATATGATAATTATGAGCATGACTATCAGTTGTTTTAATGTGATTTTGTCAGGTTTATCAGAAACATTTTTAATTCATTTGATTATTGTGTGGTAGATGTTCAAGTTATATCTTGGGTTTCAATCCCACTTTCTCTTTGATTAGTCGCTAGGTTTGTTGGCACCACTATTGTGGTTTTTCCTGTATTGTTTTGGGTTTTCTTGTTACATGAAGCTCACATGCCTTGATATTGTAGGAACTCTCTTCAAGAGGTGAAAAAACCCAACTCGCTTACTCAAGTTACATATCTTTAAATGTGGCAATGATGTTGAAAGTTCTATTACAATAGCTAATTCACTAAATGTGTCTCTTTGATTAATCATTTTGGCTCCAAATTGACATGAAGAAAATTATGATAGATTGTGAAGCTTTGTATTGTCTGACATTCTACAGTTTATGCAGTATGTAGATGTACATGGACAGGTTTATGAGTCAAGGGACTCAGTTACTGCCTTGTTTATTTTGAGCACAGAACCCTCCTTTAAGGGACAGGAATGTTATGCACTCTTTCACAAGAAAAATGCCCACATTAGTTGTTAGTACCATGTTGAAATATCACTTTGTGTGTACACGGAGCACAGTGTTACCTTACACATGTATGTTTGTTTGTTTAGCTGGTTCAGTGGGGCGCACCAGCCCTGCCCTCGGACTATCTGACACCAGCGGTAAGACAGAGGGATGACATGTCTGTCTGTCATTTGTCTGTCCGACACTTGTCTGTAGTGGTCATGTTGTACTAGACAGTAGATATTTTTGTTGGTCATCCCAACTGGGAGAAACTGTCCAAGGAGCCTACCTGTATCATCTCAAACACTCAAACTGTACCGATAAGATTTGTTGACAAATGAAACTTCAGAGTATCCTGTCCACTTGTCTTGGATGACATTCCAAGCCTGTGGGCAGGCATGGTGGTCAGGAATATCCTAAAAGTGCAATCTCGGGCTGGATGGCCATGCATGTCAGCAGTGAAAATCGGCTTAGTGTCTGGTATAGAATCTAATTCTGTCTGAATTGACCAGGCTTGATCTTGTGCAAATTGACATAATATGCTATGACATTACTAACTTACTGGCAATAGTTAGACTTCCAGATACGCTTGTACACCTGCACTGAATATGTAGGCTGGATGCCAAGTGGCGTTACCATGGTTGTATGGAGAGCTCAGATCAAAGTTGGTGTTTGACTGTTTGAGATGAACTTGTAGAATTTGATTTTCTAGTGATTGTAATGAGTATATGTATGTTTAAGCATAATGTTGGGTTCATTATTGTTTTCCTCTTTATCATGTTTGAATTTTGTTATTGTTTCTAATGTATATGTGCACAGTTTGTGTAGAATAACATGGTACAGTACATCAGTCATCTTTGAGTGACCTCATTGAGGGGTGGTAGGCACATGTTTACACCTGATTGGTGTTTCACTGCCTCTGTTTACACCTGTTGATTTTCAGTGCAGTATAACCTTTGGGTATTCAACATGCCTTTGTGAGGGGGTATTCAGTGCCATGTGTCATTTGTTTACACCTCTGAGTATTCAGTGCCTGGTGTTTGCACCTGAAGTTATTCAGGGTATCCATTTGTTTACACCTCTGGGTATTCAGTGCCTGGTGTTTGCACCTGAAGTTATTCAGGGTAGCCATATGTTTACACCTGTGGGTATTCAGTGCCTCTTGTTTACACTTGTAGGTATTCAGTGCCTGATGTTTACATCTTAGGGTATTTACGGTAGCCATGTGTTTACACCTGAAGGTGTTCAGTGCCATGTGTTAACACCTCTTGGTATTCAGGGTAGCCATGTGTTCACACCTGTGGGTTTTCAAGACAGCCATATGTCATTTCTTTATATTAGTGGGGTTTCAGTACCTCTGATGTATACCTGCTGGCTTTGCACGGCAATTCCATAAGTCATGTTTACATGTATAGGTGTTTGTGGCCTGATGTTTACACCTGCAGGTGTTTGAGTTGGAATATGTACCCAGTGTCCAAACTATTTTAAGTTTAGGCAGAACTTCAGCAACAAAACCTCAACTATCCTTGTTGACATGGCTGAGCCTGTATTTTGTATGGAAGGTTTGTGATGCTGATTCATGTTGGCTTAGCCTCCCTTGCCAACGCTGGAAAATAGCACAAGTTGACTGGTGTAGAAGGAGTCTTTGGATGAGGATAAGATGCATTGGAGGGTGCTTCGCAAGATCTCGATGTGTGGAATGATGATGATCACACAATATATGAACTGAACAAAATGTTCGGATCATGTACATTTTGGGGATATTTAATGTTTTGGTGTTCGCACTCTATGCTTATGCTATTATCCCCCCAAATTCTCATGTTCCCCAACTTTGTTGTTCAGTATATATCATGTTACAGCTGATATATGGCTACAGTTTGCTGTTATTACCTATGAGGGCGAACATATCGGGGTTAATATTTTTCATACGATGCCCTAGGGCAAAATATCACTTTGTCATGGTGACGTGACGTCATGAACAAGGCTATGACGTCACGTTTTTTCTGTGACATTGCGTTCTACATGCGGCGATGGCGGATAGCCAGCCTGTGTTTGAAAGTAGATTTGGGTTTATTTTCCTCAATTTGACGACTTCGGTAATAAACAGAATATTATACTCGTGCCCATATCATACTATGTTTACGACACTCGTGATTAAATATCGACATATCCCTCGCTCTCGCTCGGGAAATACCAACATTTAGGCTCTCGTGTCGTAAACATAGTATGACATGGGCACTCATATAATATCCTCTATGTAATATTGCCACCTGTGATGTTGGTCAGCAACCAAACAAGACATGCTGTTTGATGCGGCATACAAGGCTGTTCATTCACACCCAAGAATGAATTGATAAAGTGTTATTCCCTCCTACAGCGTCTTTGTAAGCAGTTCAAGAATATTGGTTTCTATTGCACAGTTAATTACTATTACCTTATTTAGATTGTTCAGTATTTTGCTACACTTTTTACTGTTTGTGTTTTGATATGATGGTCAATATTCTGTATGGAAAGTGTTTCAACAAAAGAAGAAATCCATGTGGTATTTAATGTGCATCCATGATGGGTTTTTTCAGTGTCAGTGTTTTCTGTTACACCTTAGCATGTCATTTCTTTTCAGATTTCCTTTAGTTTTATGTATCCTGTATCCTGGATAGAGAACTCATACACAGACACACATGCATATTATTATGTTGTGTGTGCCATGTTTAATCTATTATTATGAACATGAAAATTTATTATTTTCTTTATTGAAAGATGACATTTGTTCTTCACAGTGTAAAGGAACTATCTGAAGTATTTAATGGCATTTTTAACAGTCTTAATTTCCAAAATTTGAGGATTTAGTTAAAATGGTATATTTTCTTGTTCATATTAATGTAAAATTTATGGTGTCCTTTACATAACAATGTGTTTTGTCACATCATAAATAATGAATTGTAACCTCTTTTGATACTAATATTCTAACATGTAATTTCATTGTTTACATGGTACAACAAATAGGAAGGTATATTCTAAAGCATGACGTGTGGTTCCTTGTAGGTTTTGATGCATTTGGCGAGGTCCTCCAGCCACACAACAAGCCTAACCAATCAGACAGTAATCAAAAGAAAACCGACTCAACCAAGCTCCTGGCAGGGGATCTTGACAGCAGCCTCTCCACACTCGCAGGCAACCTCCACATCGGGGGCCCGGCACAGCAGGTCAAGAAGTAAGTCCTGAGATTCTGGTTTGAATTGGTGCCAAGCAACCTGTTGTTGCATGAGGCGTTTTATTGGATCAGGTGGTCAGGTTTGCTGACTTGTGTCAGCCATACAGCATGGATTGGTGCTCATATTGTCAATCACAGGATTGTCTGGTTGAGACTAGACTACTGGCTGCTGTCAGGGCAGGAATACTGCTGAGTAGGATTACTACGGATACACTATAAGGGGAACATGATATGTATCATGAAGACTGGGTAACGAACACATATATTTATTCTCAAATAGACCCGTGAAGGTCCAGGTTAGAATATCGATCTTCAGTAACCCATGCTTGTCGTAAGAGGCTGACTAACGGGATCGGGTGGTCAGGCTCGCTGACTTGGTTAACACATGTCATCGGTTCCCAATTGCCCAGATCGATGCTCATGCTGTTGATCACTGGATTGTCTGGTCCAGACTTGATTATTTACAGACCACCGCCATATAGCTGGACTATTGCGGAGTGCGGCGTAAAACTAAACTCACTCACTCACTCACTATTCTCAAATACTTTAATATGAAGCAATTAAACTAACTCATTTTGTCCATGTTTAATCACATTCCTGTGATTTTATTTTATTTTTATTTTTTTTTGTCAAGGATCAAAAACAATGCTGTCAATTGCCTATTTTTTTAGTTGTCAGTACTGTAAGGGGCCTTTTCAAAAAGACACAATTTTGATAAATAACAGGCAAGTTCTAGTACAAAACACTCTTTTATGTTTTTCTTGTAAATGTTCGATTCTAGAGAACTTAACTAATGAATCAATATTCATGAAGAAATATGGTTCAGTTCACTGAATATGTGAGTGATCACAACAGCTCTACTGCTGAGCACAGCACTAAGCAACAAACTAACATGGTGAACATATGCTGAACTGGTGTTTCACAATAAACAGTATCTGCTCATTTATGTGATGCATAACTAGTTCCATACATCGCCACCAATATGCATGTATTGGATAGACTAAAGCTGCATGTAAGATATGCATTGTGTGTAAACTGTGGCTGTTTTGATTCAGAGCTGAGCATCAATGGCAGCCGAAAGGAGAGCAGAAGCTGACTGGGGGTACCAATTGGCAGATGACGTCTGCAATGGCATCCACCACTTGGAACCAGCCAGGGATTGGTCAGCAACCAATGAACCAACCACCTATGAGCCAGCCAATGGGACAGCAGTTTCAGCAGCCAATGGTTTGTCTCTAACGTTGAACTCCAATAATTAGTTACGTTGATAGCAATTCGACCCAGCTGTCTCATTATCCAGTATTAATTAAACCACGGATTACCATATTTCTTTAAGCAAAACATATTCGTTGTCTGAAAAATACATTCTGACGATACATTCCCCAAAGCAAAAACATTACACCAGCTTGTATGTCAGGAAATAACTTGTGTGTGTCTTGATAATGTCAATCCATTGTTGGGGGGGCATGGGTGGCTCTGTCATCTGGGGTACAGCAAGTTCTGGGCCCCATTTCACAAAGCGATTGTAGCACAAAGGTGATCGTAACACCCATACATTAACATAGACTTACGACAGTCATAGCACTAATATCTCTTTGTGACACGAGCCCCAGAGTTGTATCCATTGGGCACATGAGGACCCTATGGTTGTTGGTTTGAGTGCCAACGGGTCCCAGTGTTTGTTTCTAGGTCTGCCATTACTTACTTCAGAATATTATCATCTTTTATCAACATGAAGCTGACCGATGTGATATGACTGGACTACTGTTCTTGGCAGTGTTAAACCAAACTCACTCATTCCATGATTTTTGTTGTAGATGGGAGCACCTCCTATGGGCTATGGGCAGCCTGGAATGGGTCAAGGTCAACCCATGATGGTATATATGTTCTGCCTTTAAATGATACTCCCTATTGTGTTTAGAAGATGAGGTAGCAAAGTAAATGGTTGTTATGACATTGTCAGCTGGTATCCCGTAACACTTTCTGTCTAATACATCCCATAATGTTCGGGGTTAGTCAAGCGGGGCTTCCTGTCTAGGGTATGTTTCAGTAAGACTTTCGGTCTATGTCTGGTATAGTCACCCTTAGTGCTTACTTATGAGAGTGCATCAGTGTGACTCTGTCTTATTATATGCACTTTTTAAAATTACACATTCTGTATAATACACCCCATACTGTTTTGGGGTTGGTCAGATTTAGCTATTTGTCTAGGACATGTATCATTAAGACATTCTGTCTCTATCCACCTCCACCCTGTTGTTAAGTATATGCATTGATGTGACTCTATGTCTAGTGTAGGCACCTGAAAGGCTTACTGTCGACTATATATGCAGAATGTGACTATGTCCAGTACATGTGTATTTATGCAACCCATGAAGATCCGGGTAGAATAGGTCTTCAACAACCCATGCTTAAAACAAAAGGCTTACTATGCTGGTTGTAAGAGGCGACTAATGGGATCTGGTGGTCAGGCTCGCTGACTTGGTTGACACATGTCATCGGTTCCCAATTGCGCATATCGATGCTCATGCTGTTGATCACTGGATTGTCTGGTCCAGACTTCGATTATTTACAGACCGCCACCCTATAGCTGGACTATTGCTGAGTCGCGCGTAAAATAGGGTAAACTCACTCACTCACATGTGTATATGCAGTTAACTGTTGGCTGTTTCAGGGCATGGGCCAGCAGCCACAGATGATGGGTATGAACATGGGCATGGGACAGAGGCCACCGATGTATGGGACCGGGATGCAGCCAATAGGATTTCAGCAGCCACGCCCACCCATGCCACAATCCAACAATATGAATGATCCATTCGGGGCATTGTGAGGCCCAGCTTGCTTGTCTCAAGGTAAACATCAAAGATATCAAGTCTGGTACTAAATATTCTGGAACTGATCTTTTAGGATGTGAGAAGAAACACTTCTTGTTCACAGCACTCAATTTCTGCAGATTGAACTTCACGTTTACACCACTTTTCCTATTAGTAGGGGTGGTGGGGTAGCCTAGTGGTTAAGGCGTTCGCTCATCACGCTGAGGACACGGGTTCGATTCCCCACATGGGCACAATGTGTGAAGCCCATTTGTGGTGTCCCCTTGCTGTGATATTGCTGGAATGTTGCTAAAAGCGGCGTAAAACTACACTCACTTGCTGCTATTAGTAAAATATGTCGGTAAGGTCCTGTTACTTGAGTTAAAATGAAACGGGTACAAGTTATGAACACAAAATGCACTGTAATTCGTAAATGTCCCAGCAGTTGATGCAGTTTTGTTTTATTATTGTAACTATTTCATATCTTCTCAGTGTTAGAGGGGCAATGTTGTCCCAGTCGTTGAAAGGCACCATGCTTCACATTGCAGAGTTGCATTCTTTTAGGTGTGCAACTAACAGGTTCAGGTGGTTAGGCTTGCTGACTTGGTTGAAACGTGTCATCATACCCCAATTGTGTATACATATCGATGCTCATGTTGTTGATCACTTGATTATCTGGTCCAGACTCAATTGTCTGGTACAGACCGCCACCATATAGCTGGAATATTGCTGAGTGAGGCATCAGGCAACAAACAAACCAACCAATCCTTTATGTGTACCTGACATCTCAGATTGTGGGGTCAAATCCTTATTTGCCCCGATCATGTTTCTTGGATTTTGCACCATACCCTTGCTTCTTGGTTTGCCCAAAGTGATTAATATCAAAGACTGTTTTTCTTAGTACATGTTATTGATTATTTCTTTTATTTTCAGGTTGACAACAGACCAGAAGATGAACATATTTGTTGTACAAATGACATAGACTGTGAACTTGTGTACATATTGGTGGATGTTGCAAAGATAATATCCTTGGCCTACTATGACTATCTCATGTAGTGTGACGGCCTAGCAGTGTACACTAGATGGCTCGGAGTCCTGGCCCCACCCCTCTTTGCCCAACATAGTGTACAGTTATGAGGATATATTGTATAGGTAGGCGGGTAACTAGTCAACATTTGAGGCATCGTCAACTGTGGTATCTGTGACTCACTCTACACGTTTTTTACTAGGGGTGTCATGATACGCTTGCAGAACAGACAACATCTAACGCAACATTCAGCTTCAGACATGTAGCCATTATGTTTACCTCATTATACAATGTGAACTGACAACATGAAGCTTTCGTGCACACATTTGGACTGTCAAGCTATAATTATTCCATTCATAGTTACTACAGAGCTATTTCAAATCTTGATGTAACATATGGTCAATTTTGTGTGATTGTCTGCTGTTTTACCATCCGTCTCATGTTGCTTTTCACTGTGGTACTTTTGATTCTTCACAAATATCAAGTATCAATATACAAGGAAAGATGTGTGTTCTGGGAACTGTACAGCCATGACACCCCTATATTTTATGCACGGTACATTCACTAGCCAAGCAGCACAACAAGATGTAGACAAAACCTGTAAGTGTAAATGTTGGTTATAGTGTAATGACCAGTTCAGGGAATCTGAATGTTTTTACATTGAGATATTAATTACTTTCTGCAGTGAAAATTTTAAGATCTCTTTTGCTGTAATGCAAACAGTTCGAACTTTTGGAAACTTTTCCACAATATCAATGCCAAATATAACACTTTGTTGCACAGTTGAGTTACCTAACATAACACATGTGTAGTACATAAAAAGTCGAAAAGTCATCCTTTCATGCACAGTTTATCAAAACTTATCATTAATCAAAGATGGCAATTATATGAATTTCTGTGTGTATATATATTAATATATATGTTTACATGTATAGAGGCTGCCGAAACAAAACTGTCAGTACTTATATGTTTAAATGATGGACTAGCTCTGTTGTGCTTAGGAGTTGTCTCCCTGTTCCTGCTATACAGTAAGCTACAAAGGAGAAGCGGACCTTCAGGCAAGGCACCATGGAGGGGATGTGTGAGATATGTCATGTGTTTTTCAGTGTCAGCTGTGAAATTACCACGTGCTCCCCAGCCGTGTGTTCAGCAGCCAAGCGATGGTTCATAACATCCTATGTAACCAGGTGTCTAGTGAACATGTGTACCATCGCTGTGGCGACACATGTACCAACATTGAACCAACATGTGTCAGTCAGCACTATCTGCAGGAGGTATACACAAATATACATAGGCTAAACTATTCAATTGTTCAATTCAGATTCATTTATCATCACATGAATGAACAGATGTCACCAGTATCAGCCTTGGGTTGTTGAGGCCACACGAGTTGATTGATTTAATCACCCTGAAAATGTTTTTCATTATCTATAAGGATGTTTGGGTTAAAATCAAAGGACTTCATCAGGCCAGCAGAAGACATTCACTAGTCCTGTGTCCTACTGAATGAGGGGTTTTGTCATTGGTTATCATGCAGACTCCATAAAACTGATCATTGACATGGGAAGTTCCTGCATCACCACCATGCAAACTCCATGCACTCTTTATTGCCTCGGTCATTGTAAGGAGTTATCATGTCACTGGTCATATGCAGGCTCCATACACTGATCATTGCCTCTGTTGATATGAGGAGTTCTTGTATTACTTGTATGCAAGCTCCACTTGCTTCTGTTCATGTTTCTGTATCACGGTTGTTTTAAGCAATAGTTCAGTTACACAGCTTTTGCTTTTTTGTAAAATATATTTTAAAATATGAAATAAACTGCATGATTTTGTTAATTTTATTTTAGTCATAAATACTGCAGATCTGCCCGAGTTAGAGCAGTGACCATATACAGATATGTTTGTGGCCAATGTAGAATGAACTCTATCCAGAGTTATGTAAATATGTCATTTTGAGATTATTGTATAATACTGTAAACCAATAAAATGAGAGGACCCTGTCTTAGGCCAGATGATTATGACAGAAATCTAGCTACTTCAAGTCACATGAAGATATCCATGCTTGTATAAGCATGGATAAAGGGTTGTGAGTAACTCATATAAGATATTCTCAAAGATTTAAATTATCAAAGATATTAATCATAATGTAACTGCTCTATCATATACTTGACTTAATTGATACCAATTATTATTTTTTAATTTTATCAAATACCTGTCAGGTGTGTTAAGGAGAATAGTGTCAAAGATTACTATATATAATGTATGTGGTACAGAACAGCTACTCTCATTCTACATGACTAGTTAGCCAGAGTATTGTGAATGCTACCAACTACTTACACGGCCAGCGAATCAGGGCACCTGTTCTCCTTGCAGGATCATTATGTTGTTTTTGTTGTTATTACACTGTTTCTCCTCTGTGATTGTTAGAAGGGACGTTTTGCCTGCTGTTAATGTATGCTTGTTCCAGTCATCAGAATGTCAGTTGTTATTCATGCACAGAGTAACTGAAGGAAGTGTAATTTATGAAAAAACACTGTAGTGACGGCACACACAGCACCATCTCCTATGTAGTGGTTGCAGTATGGATATATACCGCTCAACATTTGACAAGGACAGAAGACTTTTGTCAAAGGTGTAGTCCTTAGCAAATTTTGAGTATATAATATACATAAGTATTGTATTGTGTAGTTTTGCTAAAACTGAATTTGTTTTAGATATTTATGCGAAGATATTTCATCAGAACCAATATATAGTTCATGAATTTTTATGATCAGCTGAAGGTTTGATCAATCTGTATGCCATACAGTGATGGATATATATATATATATGTATGGATAAGTTCATGTTAAACCTACAGATAATGTTTCCAGCGTAAAGATTTAGTAGTAAAGCCCTGTATTCTTCACTTGTGAGGCCTGTTAACTGTTGTATTTTGCATATGGTGCCACTCAAGCGTAGTGTTGTGTGTGTCTGCTACACTTTCTATGTCATAAATTATCTACAATAATACTAATATCAGCTCCTATTTAACAATCATGAGTTAGGGTACTTCTTGTACTAGTTAAATAGAAGATCATATCATAGTTACATATGGCAAGGGTGATTCATGGAGGCACATTGTTGTTATTGTCTGTCTACACCAGATTGTGGTATCCTGGATTGTCTTAGAGTATCAGTGCATGGCAGAGATTCCACTAGGCATTACTCTAGGGCATTAGCTTGCTTAATGTCATTTGTTTCATGTAACTATCGGTCTCAGGGATGACCTGACTATGTTTTGATCTTTAAGACTGTTGAAGATGTCGATGACCTGATCTATTGTATAACCATTTCATATCTCTGGAATTCTGAAATCTCAATAAAATCAGATCGTTGTGCTCATTCTAGCTACTGGAGCAGTAGGGAGCACTAAGATCTGACTTTATTGAGACTGCTGTATGCTGTTGATTCACAGGACATGTCGTCCTTTTCTTTGTTCTTACTTCAGTGCGGTTTGTCCATTCAGGAGAAACGTGGTAAGCATATCATGGCCACAGGTTGGAACGGTTTTGATAGACAATCCACTGTGGAGCTTCTATTTATGGTAGAAATTATTGAGCTGAATGCTGAAATACTTCATCGCTTGGCCAAGGATGTAATATATCTGCATTGTAAATGTCATTGAACATGTAGACAACCTTTCTATCGGACATTTATAAAAGCTTATGCTGTCTTCTTGTTGGAAGACATACTGGAAAATTATTCTCAATAGTCTTTGAACCTTCATAGAAATTGTTGGGAATTTGCGTTTTGTAAATTTTTCACAGAAATCAGTCTTCACTAGTACTTGATGTCCTAGGACTGTTCTTTGTATATTTAATAATATATGCCTTGGGTCCATTAGCACAGCTCCAATGTGTTCAGACCATCAAGGTCATTAATTATTCTGAACATCACCTACATGATGCTGATGCAGTATTACCAGTCTCAAGTTCAGGAAATAGTCCTACAATTGGCCCAGTAGGCCCAAGGTGTATTAGTACTTAATGTCCTAGTAGCTTCTCATGCTCCTGCTTGATATTGTGTAAGAATCAGCTGTGGAGTTAGCCAGTGCTGCTTTAACTGTAAATCTCCAGAATGCTCTGGTTCAGTCTACAAGCCACCGGAGGACCTGGGTCCTACATAACATTAGAGTAATCACCCTTAGTCCATCGTCCTCATTGGTAGCATGGAGTTACCTCCCTTGTATGATGCTCCGGCATTCTGCAATGGCGGTGTCACTTGTCACTGTGTATGTGTGATTACCATTATTATATGGCAGAGCAGAAGGTATAGAGCATCTGTAGGCAACTATGTCACAACAGGTGAAAATAAATATATAAGAAATACAACTTCTTCTGTTCTTATTTATGCAATTGATGTGAAACATAATAGTGAAAATTGTTAAATGATTTGGACTGCCCCTCACATACCTTGTACTGTTTTCACTTTTGTGACAGAGTGAGTCGGGTTTTATGCTGCCATGGACAATATTCCACTTATATCACAGCATGTCAGAGGAAAGCAATAACTGATGTAGAACTCTGATAGGTACCACTTAAGTGAACCCCACGAGCACAGGTAGAGTGCTGAAACATTCAGGATTTTAAACATTTTGAGGTTGCTGGCGTGGGAGGAAACTGCACATGGAATTGCCACGTCTTGGACAGATGGGACAATCTTGCCCCTGATTCTGATAGACGATGTTAACCACTCCTTGTACCAAGAAGCATTCATGTTGATTGGCAGTAAACATCACCAGGGGTGGAAATAACTTTAAAATTGCTAGTGTACTCCGGTACAGTGGCACATGTAAAATCACTTGACCTGATAATTTTCCCACTATACCGGCCGTTTTCTTGTTGATTTTTTAAATAAACAACATAATTAACATTGGAAAGTCAACTGGACACCGGTACAGTGTGATATACAAATTTGCTTGCCCCACAGAAAAAAACACTAGACTCGGACGTCGGGCAATGGGTTATTTCCACCCCTGATCACCTAATGCAAACTGTCAAGGAAAATGTGTGTGTTTCACCGTAAACTGACTTTGGCTGGTGTGAGTGTACAATCTTTGAGGAAGGTAAAATTAAACATCACACAGGCATTATTTCAGCCATATAGTGAAGAAGTAACATTTTAGAGACAAACCTGTCATTTATCCCAAACTGAGTAGACATTGAAATATACCAGTGACAGCATGGGCAAGTGAAAAGTAAACAGTGTCCTCACCCACTCATTACATTTAATTTACAAAGTTCAAGTTCATTTTATGAAATACACTCGCTGATGTGTTTAATGCTTATTGTACACACATTAATGACCGATCTTCTCAAAATCATTTTATTTAAATTTCTGTCACTACATGATCCATGTATTAGATGGTTTGGCGCATTCTTCAATACAATCAACACAACCAACAAAGCTTCCCTGCTGCACATCCCTGTGAATATTGATCTCCCCATCAATGAACTTCACCACCAAAACACTATTTGCATCATTATTTATCAGAAACCAGAGAAACAAAGAATGGTCAGTATTTTATTATCTAGATTGAAACAATTGCACCTCACAGGTGACAAGATCATGGTATCTGACTTCTGCCTGTTTTCACCGTATCCCAGGTAACATACTCTTCAGATTCACACACTATTACTACACAGCCACTATCATACTTTGGTGCCATCCGTCTCCGAGGATGCTTTCAACATTGTACTGTCTCCGCCTTTAATCTGAACAGGCTCCCTCTTACCCATGCTGTGCAGCAGTTGAGGATGCTTGTCCAGCAAAGCTTTAGGCAAATGCATATGGAAAGTCTGAAAGTACTTAAGTATTTGTTGTACATGTGCTTCATCCAGCTTGTATTCATGTGCAATCTGAGATGAGGTGTAATTCTGCGGAGCTGTCTGATGCTCAGTGATAAACTGCATTGCATGGAGTATAGACGTCCGTCCTTCTGGAATTCTCTCTGGTTCAAGAAAACCAAACTCTGGGTCTTCCAACTTGTCTCTCCTTTCAGGCATGGACCGGGGTTTTGATTTGATCTTAAGAAAAACATCACAAAGAACATCTGTATTTTGAAAAATATAGCACGTACTTGAATTCACCAAACCCTACCATTAATTTGAATAATTCTTCGGTGTAAGTCTAGAAAATGTTGCTATCTTGTATATAGTGGGCTGTCAAAAACTACACCATATGACTGTGAATTCTATGTACTCAATACCCAAACTCAGTACTCCATAACCACTGGGCCAGATCTTAGCGAATGTGTGGGTATGGTTTAAAGGGGCACTGACCAATCTTCAACATGGCCACCTAAGTCTCCTTTGCTGGCAGACATCTTTTCAGTACAGACAGCTGATACAAACTTTGAGACAATGATATAGACTTATATGCGCATACGCATACCAAAAGGATGTGTGTTAATAAATGTCTACAACCCAAACAAGCAGACAAAAACAATGTTGGATGCTCATCAGATGTCGTGATTTGGAAATATAATGTATAAACAATTATTAACTTTAGTGAGTGAGTGAGTAAGTTTAGTTTCACGCCGCCCTCAGCAATATTCCAGCTATATGGCAGCGGTCTGTAAATAATCGAGTCTGGACAAGGCAATCCAGTGATCAACAGCATGAGCATCGATCTGCGCAATTGGGAAGTCAGCAAGCCTGAACACCCGATCCCGTTAGTCGCCTCTTACGACAAGCATAGTCACCTTTTGTGGCATGCATGGGTTGCTGAAGACCTATTCTACCCCGGATCTTCGCGGGTCATCATTAACTTTAGTACACAGCAATTGCATGTACATATAATTTATCTATGAATGAAGTTACATGGATACATTCCTTGAACAAGGTAACTGCCTGTTTATATTCATGCAACTTTCGTCATATATATAACGGTTGACATTTACAATATTTGATTTTGTTTGTTTTCATTCATTTGTTGTAACACTGAACAGAATCCACTTCGTTTATGCTATCATTGGAAAGTTCTTTGATGTGAGACAGAAAACACTAATAGTTGTTTTCACAAACCCAGGTACTTATTGTAAAATATGATTCATTAAGGAATTAACATAATGCCTAGATATTACAGTCATTTTTCAAACGCACTAAAACCAGTTCAACAAAGATTTTCAAGGATGTTCCAAAGTGCATAAAAACATAATAGAGTAATAATGCCAAAAATCTAAAGACATACATTGACTCTTTCTTTCAATCGTTATATTTATATCATTAACTGCACTTATAGGTAATGCAGCAGAGATCGCGAACCAGTGAGGAATTCAGGGATATTCACAGGAAAAAACGATGACAAATGCAACAACCAGTCCCTTGGAATTGCTCTATGTCAGTGCTTTGCAACATATTCCAGCATTTCTATAATTACAGTTGGGGACACTTAAGAGTGAGTTCCCAACTTCAAAGTTAAGCCCACAGTGGAGACTGGATTCAGTTTTGAACTCTTCAAGGGACCTTGAGAACATCAATAACAAAGGACAAGAAACACAGTTTACAAAAACTTGGATCTTCCAATTTAACTGATGTATGGAGAGTTATGATCAAAGAAACAAAAACAGTTACATTGTAGAAAAATGTAATTTTCTGAATAAAATTGATATTTTATACTTATCCTGACTCATGCTTAATTGCTTGTCTCCTTCCTCTTGCGAACGTTAGTGGAACACTTGTTTCTCCTATTGAAGCTCCCTTCAATAAAAACAGACGTAAAATCACTACTCACCAAGAGTTATCCGTTAATCCGTTTTGGCGGGAAACTGTGGCGCCACCGTTCCCACATGCTTCACTCTCTCCTGATTATGAGCCCGACACTTAAATTTGCAGGGAAATCCAAAGTGTCTAGTGGGGAGGTTGGGAGGGCTTACCTCATGAGTCAGGATAAGTATAAAATATCAATTTTATTCAGAAAATTACATATTTTCCCTTATCCTGACTCATGCTTAATTGCTTGTAGAATCCGTCGGATTTGGTGGTGGGTCAAGCTACTTCTGGATTTCTTTTAGTGATTTACGTCAGATATACCCCCCTAGGGGAACTTCAGATTGGCACTTGCTAGTCTCTGCTGCTGCGCACCCTGTACTTCCAGCTGCCTTTTGACGGGGACCACAATAGTTAACGCTTGGTCCTTTCTTCTGTTAACATTTTACGTGGATTTTGTGACTCCATTTCTTGATGCAAGCACCAAGTAGAGAAGCGACCCTTTCCTGTACGAGTATCCTTACAAGTACTGGGTCCGATCACTTATCAGTGATGTGAAGTCATGTGATTTAAGCAGAACTCTCCTTGCCTTTTTCAAGTCTTTGAGGGACTGTCAACTGTTGTGCTACAACCAGCAGGGACTGTCAACTGGTGAATGCCAGGAGTCATCCTCGGTGAATGCCGGAGACGCCCTCGATGGCGATCCCCTCAGGTAGTGGTTTGCAAACACCATGTCCGATTTCCAAAAGCAGCCCTCCATTATCGCCGTGGATCGAGCAATTCCCATGTAGAGCGAAGTGTTGACGCCAGAGCTCTAACTTCGTGTTGGGTTGGAGGCTTTTGGAGGATCAAGTCCTGCTGCTTTGTAGGCCCGTAGAGTATGACAGTTCTGATCCAGATTGATATCGTGAGCGGGAGACCTCTGTCTGTGTCGCTGTTGATATCGGGATGAAGAGACGCTTTGAATTTCTGTCTCCTGATCCTGGATCTTTGTAGGTATACTTTCAATGCTCTTACTGGGCACAAGGATAGGTCCTGCGTATCTTGTGGTCCAAGGACGGATGATAATGCTGGGACGTGGAATTGTCTGTCAGGTTGACCTGGCAGTTGATTCTTTGCTATGAAGTCCCATCCCAGTCCCATATGCACGGTGTTTTGATTCTCATCAAATCGTGTTCTCTTGTAGTCCAGAGCATGTATTTCCGACATCCTTGCTGCTGTTGCTAGGGCTAGCAGGAACAGCGTCTTATGTGTCAAGATTTCGAAGGATGTCCTCTCTAATGGTTCAGACGCCACTGGTGAGATGTCGAGAACAACGTTGAGGTCCCACAATCGGAGCTTTAAATCTCTGTTGTTGGTCCTCCAATTTATAAGAGCATAGTAAGGCCAGTAACTCTGGTACTTTCGTCAGCTTGGCACCTGTCCTCATGGTGATGACTGAGCTCAATGCCGCTAGGTATGTTGAGAGTGTTGACCCTTTTAATCGCTTTGTTTGCCGTAGGTGACAAAGGTAGTCCGCCACTTGAGGGTGTGTCGCTTTTATGGCTGTAAAACCGCTCCTCGCAGCGCATATGTCTCGAAGCTTCGCCACTTGTCGCAGCGCATTGCGTTGCGCGTAGACTTCGCGTGAGAGCTAGTGTGACTGCTTTCGCTGCCCTGGCGGAATATCCTCTCTTGTTCAAGCACGCCTTGATACAGTCCACACGCAGTCGGAACACCCCTGGGTTGCTGTGCCTGCTTTGTGTGAGGATGTACTAGTAGATTCGGCCCACTCTGGTAGTTGCAGTTGAGGTGGTCCTAGTTCTTGTATGAGAATGGGGAACCATATTCTCGCTGGCCAGTAGGGCTGACCAAAATCAGTTGGAGGTCGCTCATCTGGCTGATTTTCTGCAACACCCTCGGTATTAGCGCTGGCGGTGGAACGCGCGCACGCCGCTTAGTCCTTCCCAGGATATGCTTAGAGCCGTCCGCTGCCCATGCTTGTGGATCTGGCACTGGTGAGACGAATGGTGTCAGTTGATTGTTGAATCTCGTGGCTAAGAGGTCTATTAGCGGTACTTCCATCTCTTGGATGATCTGCTTGAAGATCTCTGGATGTAGCATCCATTCTGTTGGAGATGGTTGCGCTGGACGGAGAGCGCGCCTGCTATCACATTCTTGGCTCCCCGAATGTGGCATGCTCTTATGTGGATGTTCAGATCGCCTGTTAGGTCGAACAGTTGAAAGCAGAGGTCCAGGAGGTTCGGCGACCGTGTTGATCCTTGCTTGTTTATGTAGAATGCCACTGTGGAGTTGTCCGTAATGCCATCAGATGAGCATTCTGTAGAATGGTGGTCCAGTGGAGTATGGCGCTTACGACTGCTTTCATTTCCAGCATGTTGATGTGCAGACCTTTCTCCTCTTTGGTCCATGTCCCGCTGACACGCCGCTGTCGAGGTGTGCTCCCCAACCTTGGAGTGATGCGCCCACGTAAATGATGTGTCTTGCACTCGCTCTGTTAAATAGGTGCCTTCGCAGACATTCGATCTCTGAGTCCACCATAGTAGATGTGGTCGAAAGGCCCGGGAGTCCGGCGATTCCGGTCGCCTAGATGAGCATTGACGAAGACCTGTAGTGGGCGAAGTTGTAACCTTCCTCTGGCTGTCATGTCTTGGCGCTGACGTGAGGAGACCCAACAGACTCTGCCATTGTTGTAGTGGCCACGGAGAGAGTAGAGCTTGCGAGATTGTCTGTTGTATCTTGAGCCATCGGTCCTCTGGTACTACTATGCGGTTCTGCGTCGTGAGGAACCGGATTCCTAGGAACTGCAGGTCCTGTGTAGGTTCTAGGTCCGACTTGAGGAGATTCACTAGCCACCCCAGTTGTGTAAGCAGTCTGATGGTGAAGTCCAGTTGTAGTCTGAGATGCTTGGGATCTTATTGGACTTGAATCCCGTCGTCTAGGTAGAATGCACTGCGTAGACCTTGATGATGTAGATATGTGACAATGGGCTTCGACACCCAAATGGCAGGACCTTCCATTGGTAGTGTTGTCTGTCCAGTGTAAACCTGAGGTACTTCCTCGAGTCCGGATGTACAGGAATATGCAGGTAGGCCTCCTGTAGATCTATGCTGGCCATGTAGTCCCTCGGACGGACGAGGTGGAGTAATTGAGGTAGATGTATCATGCTGAACTTGGGAGGCCTGAGTAGATAATCTCTGTTGAACGCCCTCATATTGTAGATGAGTCAGAACTTTTCTTTGGAGTTTTTCTTGGGTACTAGGAAAACTGGGGAGTAGAAACCTGGTGTGATGTGGTCTTGATCCACTACTTCTATGGCTTCCTTCTCTAGTAGAGATGTAACCGCCTCTCGTAGCCTCTCTGTCCGATGGGTCTTGAAGTCGAACTTTTGAGGGTCGACTGTTAGCGGCGGAGCTGCTTGTAGTTGTATGCGATATCCGTCTCTTAGGATGTTGGATACAAATGGATCTTGAAGTAGTCCCCAGTTCTCCCAGTATAGTTGAAGACGTCCACCCACTTGTGAAGGTTGTACGGGAACGGCTGTGGGTGGAAGACTCCAGTCGTTCGGAACCCCTCTTTCATCGTCGATGATCCCTGGCACCTCTGGGTGCCCTGCCTCGTCCAGGTCGCCCTCTATAGTTGCCGGATGGGCTTACCTAAAAGAGTCCTTCCTGCCCCTGGAGGTGCTCATTTTCTTGTCTCTTGCCTTCTGAAGACCGGCGAACTTCGACTTTCCCGAGTAGCACTGGGATGTCTGCCTGATGACACTGGCCAGTGTATCGATGGACTTTATCATGAGGACCTCCCTGGAGTCTTTGGTAACTTCCTTGGCGACATCATCAATCTCTCCAGCGAAGATGGATGGAGTCGACCATGGGGCTCTGTAGAGGGACTGAGTGAAGCGTTCACTCCAGTTGCAGGATGCGAGGAGACCTTGTCGTCTTGCCAAAGTCAAAGCTGCGGAGAATGATGATAGATGGTCCGTCATAAACTGCTGGTCCTTCTTCTGCATGAGTAACGCAGAGTAGATCATCCGGTCTTCTTCCGCAGAAGAGTCCCTGAACTTAGCGATGAGCGTCTCATTTACTGTCCTGGATCTGTTGAGGCCGAAGAACATCCGCCTGGTCATCGTCTCAATTTGCGCCAACTTCTTGTCATCGATCTTATAAGACTTGGTCTTGGAGTCGTTGATGACTTTGTAGTTATCATCAATCTCCTGCGCTTTCAGGAATGGGTCCATGTTGTGGAGCCGAGAACTTCTTTGGCGCTGAACTGTGGAGGATGCAGCCTGAGATTTCGCGGGCCTTCTTGAAGGCTGCGCTAAGTTCTCCGAACCTCCGAGATAGGATCAATTGGTGGTAGAGTGATCGTGTCGACGCCATCGCCCTGCATCAGGTAAGTCTGAGCTGCATTCTCTTCCTTAGAGGGTGACGCTAAGTCCAGACCGTTGGCCATCCAGTATCTGATTTCCGAGTCCGAGAAGATGATCCCGCCGTCGTCCTCTGTGACAGGTGCGCTGATCTGGGAATGTTGATCCTCCTCCGATGGTGATCTGCGTGGTGACCTTCGCTGCCTGCGGAGACCTGCGCTGAGACTCCGCGTGGGGACCTGCGCGCGGAGACCTTCGTGGAGACCTGCGCGGAGACCTGCGTGGAGCCCGGCGAACTGCGTCTGTAAGGCAACCTGCATGGAGACCTGCGCAGAGGTGAGCGTCTCTGGGTTCGCGAATGCCTCGGTGAATCCCTCGACGATCTATGCGATGTTGAAGATGTCCTTGAGGCTGTGTCTGAAGCCCTTCGCGAGTGCCTTCGCGAATGCTGATCATCTGATTCGCATCTGGGGATAGGCGTCGCCCTTCGCACAGGCTGGTTGACGCCCTGAAGCGTAGATCTGTTCCCAGTCGCCACGCTGCTGGAAGGCCTCTCCGGGTCTCGCTTCTGCGCTGGAACCTTCGCTGTCCGGTCCGCTCTATGGCGGTCTGGTTGTTGATCATGCGATGCCCTTTCCAGTGCGAAGCGCCTGTCCATCATCTCCATGATCTGCTGTGAGAACTGCTGCATGAATTCCCCGGTTGAATGTCTGCGTGTGAGATGAGCTGCCCTTTCTGGCGCTGGTAGCGATATGGCCCAGGGATCGCTTCATCTGCCGCCAGTGTAGATACCTCGACTGCGCGAGACAACTGCGCTTGATGTTACCGCTGCTGAGGCCCGCTTCTTGTGGTGATGTATCTCGGGATGATGAGCGCGGCTCATCATAGAGTCCTCTTTCTGTCATCGGAACAATCTCGCCGAAAAGTTCTAGTAGTTCGCGAGACGCCCCTTTGGGGTCGGTCGTCGCCTTAGGGTGTGTAGCCTTCTCTGCGTAGAGGATGGCTTCTTTTTCTTAGTCTGCGATGATGGGATGTCCGAGCGGCAGCCCTCTTCTTGAGGTGGCGGACAACGCCCCACTCCGCCCCCGAGGAAATCTCCGCGATCACTTGAAGGAAGAGGGTCGCTTGACATCAGTTGACCCGTGAGGGACTCAGCCGGCTTATCCATGACTTGACAAAGCCGCCTTGACCTGTCTGCAGCACGCCTAAGTACACAAAGAAGGTATTTATTAAATGCAAAATTGGTTAAATGCTGACAATAAATGCAGCGAGCTGGAAGTACATGGCGAGTGCAGCTAGGGCACAGTTGATGTGGGTCTGCAGCAGAGAATCTAAATCTACAACGAAAACAGGATTTCATGAAATGTAAACAACTGAACAAACACGGACAAACCGTGAATAAACAGTGCAAAATACGTAAATAAATATTAACCCATATTGTTGTAAGATACTTCCTAAACCTCTATAAAAGTAAAATAGAGGGTAATAACTAATTAATGAAAGGATATAGTGCCGTATAGGAGACCCAGGCGCTCTCCCAACCGCTCACTAGGGCGAAGAAGGAGAGAGTGAAGCATGTGGGAATGGTGGCGCCACAGTTTCCCGCCAAAACGGATCAACGGATAACTCTTGGTGAGTAGTGATTTTACGTCTGTTTTTATTGAAGGGAGCTTCAATAGGAGAAACAAGTGTTCCACTAACGTTCGCAAGAGGAAGGAGACGAGCAATTAAGCATGAGTCAGGATAAGGGAAAATACAAACTATAGTTAAGACTTTATAAGAATAGTCTATAAATTCATATTGTCCAAAAAATAGAGAAAACTAAAGAACTGTCGGAAATAGAAAAAAACTGTTTTCAGGCTGTTACAATTGCAAATAGCATATGTCGAAATAATCCACATCGGCCTAACTTTGCGTTCAGTGGGATGCTTCATAGGATATCCAGAAAAGCATGTTTCTCGTACAATTGGGCAAAACCTAGAAAAAATATGTATAGCTGCTAAAAACAATGGTCATATCCCAAAACTTCCACATCCCAATACCACCACACATTGTTAAAATAATAATGTTAAGTTTTGTTTTGATGTTTTACCTTAAAAGGTTGTTGATTACGTTCATAGTATTCTGAATATACAAAACAAAAATTCTCCCTACCACTGAAACTGTAGTTAGGCCAAACTTAGTTTAACAGATATTTCACATATTAACTATGGTTGATATAGGTTGTAGATATAAATGTAGATATTTCCTACAGTACTTTAACCTAATCATTGATTGGCTGGTCGTTGTACCACTGTTTAACGCCACACTCAGCAATATTCCAGCTATTTGGCGGCAGTCTGTAAATAATGGAGTCTGGACCAAATAATCCAGCGAATAACATCATGAGCATGAACCTACACAATGGAGATACAATGACAAGTGTCAACCAAGTCAGCGAGCCCGACCACCCGATCCTATTGGTTGCCTCTTACAACAAGCATGGGATGCTGTAGACCAATTCTAACCCGGATCTTCACGAGTTCTAACCTAATGAAAAATATGAAGGAGGACTCGAATGATTAAATAAAGATTATATGTTTTATTCAGAGCTACAATCTCTGAAAATCATTAAATCTAACATTCAGTTTCCTAAAACTGATTTGTGACTGCTGATTTGTGCCCGAAGCATGAATCTTGATGGGTGCATGCCTACCTGTGGGGGAGGTCCGTGGGAGTCTAACTGCAACTTCCTCATGTTGTCAACCAGTTTGCCATGCTTGGTTTTCTGAGCTGTCAGGTATTCAGGATGATCTGAAAATCATTGGTTCATGTCTCTAGATGTTTGTCATCTGCTTTTTTGAGTTATTAAAGACAAAAGGTTTGGGTGAGTTCACAATTTTACATTATTCTTTCATATGCATTCTGACCGAGCTTCTGAACACAGGTGCAAAGTCAGCAGCTAACTCTATCAAAGCTAGAATGTTACTGTTGAGTGAACCACAGCTTTAGGCCTATAGCCATGGACTGTTTCTTGAAAAATGAAGATGTACTTGACCTGTGATAAAACGAAACTTGGACTAAGACAGTAAGGTATTCCCTGCTACATTGCACTAAACGAACAGTGACATTAATCCCTTTTTTTTTAAAGATCAGTTGGTGTCACAGCATTACGGGATAATGATATATATGCAAAAATATTCACAAATGTTTTTCTTCAGCAGTTGTCATTTCTTTGGGAGGTGCTAGATTGTTTGTATCTAACACCCCTTATCCTACAGTAGATTGCTAAATTGCTATTATAGATCTACTTAAATATAAACATAACGACATACGATATCATTCAAATTAATGAGTTAATGAGACCGTAAGGTGTCAACAAGACTAAATGAGGCAGGTACAAACCATCCGCAAATTTGTCCAATAATTGAGCAGACGAAGGATATCGAGGTGCTACTTTGGGTTGATCTACTTGTTTGTCTAATGCCCTTTGAGCCCGGTTCTCAACGTTGAAATTTTTCAACGGCCTCGACATCTTCGAAACTGCACGTCCCATTCTGACAGTTGCTCCGTGATGAGGAGTGCTTTGATTTTCAAGCCAAAGGTTGCATAAGACTCCTCAGCATGTTTTACGTTTTAGAGGTCAAACGACTGCTTCCGGGTCACAAGACGACTTTCAAGTTTGACCTACAGAGCTGTTTCGGAATGCATTGCTTGCGTATTTTGAACATTAGTAAAACAATTTTCCCACCGAGTACTTATTTAACCATTGACCAGCTAGGAAAATGATGTACATGTATATAAATAATATCCCATTTGTCGATGGCCACGAACAGATAACCCTAGACGCTTGCACAGGTTGCAGACCACTAATGAATATATTTGGTGCCTTTTCGTGGATTTTCACATGGGCAAGAGAAAATAACAGATGCCTGTGTGATTTTGATATTCAGAGTTTGTTTCATTTACACTTCAAATGTATACTAATAAACAATTTAACAGCCTAGCATACAATTAACACTTGAGTTTTCAGGAACATTGCAAATAATATGCAAGTTCAATATTTTAAAAATAAATGTCTTAAGAAGAAAGTGTGTTGGATAATGAAATCAGAAGTATTTCCCAGGGCAGCTGTAACTGATACTCTGCATTAAGAGATAATGTCAATGCTAGCAAATAAATCACCAGATATGAGTAGCTAAAATGACATGTTAACAAGGAATTGTGTTCGAAATAAACGATTATAAAGTACAATATTATTTTTCACTAAATCCATTATAAACATCTATCATCACCACTGTCTTGTTATTGTTGTTTTTCATTATTATTATTCTCTTTGCATGGGTATGTACTTCATTTCATCAAATTATTCAGTATATGAAGTATTCTGCCTGATGAGACCTAATAACCTATATTGTCAAAGAAGACAACACAACCTACATAAACGGTCATGTTCATGTGTAATATTTGTATATATTTATCTCAGGAGATACAGCCATAAGCTTTTTGTGTGAGGTTCCTTGTATTCATCAACATGGACAGTCCACTATCAGCTGCCAAAAGATTCATCCTCTTGTCGTATTAATGTTGGCCTCATGTCATGAATCAATATAATGACAGTTTATGCTGTCAGATGATGAGCTGGTTCTTATAGAATGTTATGTACATTGATTTTGCCAACACTAATGTATTTGAAAACTGTTTGCCACCAATGGTTTTCACTTGCATTATGTAGCTTACAACTATCAGAGCTCCAGATAAGATTTAGCTCATGTGGGTACTGTACCCATTGTATTTTCTTGGAGTGGGTATTATGAATGTTGAGTGGTATTTCATTTTCCGTTACCCACTGCTTTCAAATATGTGCGTATTTCAGTCATTTTACTCACCTAAGTATTATGTCATTGAGTAAGTTTACTAAGCAGGTATGTTCTGCCTTATGTCATACCTAATCAAAACCAACTTAAATATAATGGAAATGATTTCATAAAAAATCACTCATCCTATACTGACAGTACAACACTAGTCCTATACTATCTTGATAGCAATCAATGTCTTTTTCATTACGCAAGCGATTTTTATAGATATATTCTGTACGCATTTGTTTTAAACTTTTAGCGTATCTAACATTTTAAATGCGTAATTGATACGCAACAATTATTTTTCAATGCGTAATTGGAAATTTTCTATGCATATTTTACCCGGATACGCAGCTTATCTGGGCCTCTGAACTATTACTGCTAAACTTTTTCCAAGGATGAAAAGTCATGTTTAGTCAAATGTGTGGTCTTTAACAATTATTAAAAAGTACAGATGACCGAGTCATGTGTCAGCTTATTCCAATATCACCCATACTGTAAACGCTATCAAGCCCAAATATGTCCTTTTGTCTTAGAATCAGTTTGTTTGGCATCAAACGTTACCACACACATTGATCAAGACATTTCTAATCATGAGTTCATTTTCACTTTGATTAATGTTCCATAATGTTTCATTTGACTGTTAGTGCAATGAGATTTCTAACTTCCTCTATATGAGGAAGTGTTTACAGTGAGTAATTACAATTTGTGGATCACTTGGTGTAGTGTGTAGTGTGTCCTCTCTGGCTGCCAGATCCTTCTCTCAGTGTGAACAGCTAACAACAACACTGTATTGTTTAATAACATTTTATTGAAGAATATTGCCTTTTCTTACAGATCCCTTCTTCACTGCTCTGTACAGTGTAGCCATGGCTACTCCCCATCACTTTATACAGTACTACAGCCAGGCAGACACACAGCCGGACTATGTACATATTAACATACTTGTTGGCGTGCCCTGCCCACCTCTGTACAAGCTAATAAGCACAGGCATGTAGGCAGACGACATACACAGGCTGTATGCAAATGCCGAACACAGGTGTGTAGGCTGACTGCACACACATGTAAGCAGACGTCTTACATGTGTAAGCAGACGGCATGCACATGAAGCAGACGGCATACACAGATGTGTCTACTGATGGCTTACACAACTGTGTTGGCAAATGGCATACAGAGGCTGGCCACATACACAAACACTTCGGCATGCCAGCACACACAGGCAGATATGCAGCAGATTGCATGGGCTTCTAACATTCTGTACAAAAAGAGCACTTCTGCACATTTCCAGCCTGTGCAGAGCATGATATATAATATGACGATGCTGATTATGTACATCAAGAAACTGAATTTCCTTTACAAAAACTTGAGAATCAGCAAATTTGGACGTTTGTTAAAGGAGGTCTACAAATATGATCCGCGGAAAAATCTATGGGATAAAAAAAAAACAATAACAGTTGGACGGTATGGCAAATGTTACATACAGATAATGCTTTTATCTGTCAAATTCTGAAAAAAGCATTTAATAAAAAAATATTTTAACTCTTTCAGCAATCATTTCTCATGTTGAAATATAATTTGTCCTTGCTGACAAGAGACTTGTCGCTGAAAGAGTTACAGGGTGAAGAAGGCACTCTAGGAATCTCAAGTTGTTGCAAAGGAAAGTCAAGATGGTGTTTTGAGGAGGACAGGATGAGGTGGCGACTTAGATCTAGCTGTAGTGCGATAACACAATGATGCACTCATTCTGAGCTTCACACTGCTCCCCACTCAGCCCTGCTATGTACAGTCAGACATTAGGTCCATCAAGTCACTCTCTAACAAGACCTGCATAACAAATATCACTAATAGAAGCTTAACAGTTGCCTGCCCAACAGGCAGACTCACCAGACAGGCAAGGGAAGCCACGCCCCCTAGCCTGTCAAATGGTGGACATTTCCATTTTATGGAAAGATATCACTGAACCACTCACAGCAAGACGACACACTGAACAGACTTTAACTTTTTTTTTCATTTTTTTAAATGAATATCTTCTTTGAAGTTTGCACCAAGGTAGTTCCCTCTCTGCTTGGTCGTTGCTCGACGTTGCAAGGAGTCCACAGCAGAGAGGTTAGTATACTCTGCAGGAGATGGCATTCGAAGTAGGGCGCTACTTTCATCAGAGCTGCGTCACAGACAGCAGCATCGAAAGTTGGACGTTTGTCATCATACGGGTTACAGTCTTTGTCGGGTTTGTGTCGTAGTTAGTTAAGTCCTGTTCAGTGGCTTATGTCTTTAGCGACATATTTCATATCACATTTTCTTCAGTATTCCTTGCGTCTGCTGTGAGTGGCCATGTTGAATCTCAGTCAGGCACTTGGTCAGTCTTGTTAGTTATCACAATTAGGTTAAGACGAGAAAGTTTAGCTGATGCTAAACATATACAGGAGAGTTGGACTCAGCGTCAGGATTCATGAGAGGACACGGATGTCCTCCATCATCAAAAAAACGTCTGAATGTAAACTCGAAGAACGCATGTTCTGGATGTTTTCCATTTTCATATTTTGAGTCCACTCTCTTTGCATCTTCGGAGTCACTATTCCGAAGTTTCTCGGGATCAACAGGATCGGAGTTGGAAGTGTCTGTTGCATATCTGATCGTTGGAACGAACGGTGCTGGTGACTGACGGAGGCCATCATAGTTGATATCAGAGAAGAATGGGTGTTTCTTGACTTCCATGGCCCCGTTCCGTCCAAGTCGCTCCTCAGGGCCGCAGCACAGACGCAGAATAAGGTTGCTGGCTGCGCTCGACAAATTAGATTCCGGAGGAATCTTCAATGTCTCAGCCCAGTTTATCACCTGAAACAAGTTGACATTAGTGATGAGTTTCTAGATATTCAACATTGGTGTTGTAACAATCACCTGACACATACAACACTAATGTGATTAAAATGCATTGCAAGACATCAATCTGACTGCCTAATAATTCAAACTATGAATTATTCAGAAGAAAATGTATTTTCAAACACTCTTATATTCACATTATGATGACAACAAAATAAGCTGGACAAAAACACACTCCATTGAAACACGTCAGTTGTGTTTTAACATCATCTGCAAATCTAGGAAGCAGTACTTTTTTGCCACAACTTGATTGGGAAGACATTCCTACAGTCATAAGTAATTACCAAATCAACTGTTGACACCATACAGTTAAGTTGACCAAGCTTCATATCTGAACCACCAAAATAAATGTTTATGAAGAACTGCCTGTAAGTATTCAAGGTCAAAATGCAATATATAATCACATCAAACACCTATTCACAATGCATATTTTGTGCATCGAGGAAATGTAGATGCTCTGTTACCTTATACTGCGTCTCTGCTGGCGTGGCGGCGTAGAAAGGGGGATGACCCACAAGCATTTCGAACAGGATCACCCCAACGCTCCACCAATCACAGCATGAGGTATAACCTGAAACAATACCAGTACTGAATAACAACTTTATCACATGGGCAAAGTTCCCATGGTAACCAGTATTGAATAACATCAACAAAGCTAATTTAGGTAATTGAAATATTGGACATTAATATATCACAATGATCAATACATGAGAGTCGCCTTCAAAACAGATCACGATTATTTTTTAACAAGCAGCATTTTCATGATATTTATCATGATTATTCCATAAAAAGGATATTAAATTATTGTTTGTCTCCCTTCATTACCTTGTCGAAGCAAGACCTCTGGCGCAATGTAATTTGGTGTTCCGACCAGTGAGTGAGCGAGACAACGCTGCCTTGCACGTTGCCGACGCCGTTCTAATGGTTTGAGTATTT